TCCGCTGAATGTTTGTAATGATTTTTAACAAGAAATTTCGAGGCATACATTTTAGAATAAAAATAGATATCCTCTGTCCGACAAATAATATTTATAAAAAAATATTAAGTAAAATGACATCCTATGACCCTCCACCATTATGCAAAAAAAATCATTTTTATACAAAAGTATCTGAATTCAAACTTGTTCCACTTTAAACTACAAACTCCAGTAATATCGGAGGAGAATGTATTTAGTTTTCAAAAAACAATATAGTCGTTAGAGCCGTTAAATGGTGGCCATGCCAAAAGACAATTTTATACTACAAATATTGTAATCTATTGCGAGTCCTAAATACCAAAGGTGACTAAATGAAACTCGGATTGTCAAAATACCGAATATCGAATATATATCAAATATTAAGATAATATACAATATGAAGATCAAACACCAAATTTCTCACAAATCTATTGAAAAATGTGGCTTAAATACGGAATATCCGAAGGCACCTTTATATGGGGGCTATACGAAAACATATACAATGTTCTGCCACTGGAGCTAAAACCCATAACGAACTACAAATACCAATTTTTAGAAAAATAGTTGGAAAATGTGGCTAAAACCATAAAAAAATCGCAAGCTACCGCTTGGCAGACTCTATTCTAGTCCAAGCTTGATCTATGATCAAAAAATTCAATCCAATTGAAAGATTATTGGTGATCATATACATCAAATTACAAGAAGTATATATGAGAGCTATATGAATGTAAATTTGAACCGATATCACAAAAGATGTCATAAAAGAATTTTGTACCGAAAAAGCATGATTTGTTCACATATTTCAGGCGCAAATATTGCTTATTCCCTAATTCAAAATATTTCTGACGACACTACCTATTCAATACACCTTTGACTGGGAGATATATTATTGGAATATATTGGAGAATTTATTATTTTTTGAAAATTTTCATTTGGTTAGTTTTAATATCGATACTTTGAGTATCAGCAAATTTTACAATAAATATCTGAATTCTAAACAACAAATGTACGAAAATTTTAAAAATGACGGAACTTTTTCCACAAAATTTTCTTACGAGGATATATTTATAAATAAATACATATTTATTATATATATTAAGTCTGTCATTCCATTTGTAACACCTCGAAATATACATTTTAGACCCTACAAAGTGTTTGTATTCTTGATCAGCGTAAAATTCAATGTCGATTTAGCGATGTCCGTCCGTCTGTCCGCCTAACCGTCAGTCCGTGTCTGTGGAAATCACTCTAGCTCCCGAATGAAATGAAGTAGGTTGACAAAATTTTACTCAAATGTATATTAAATCTGCAGGTATTGAAAATGGGCCATGTAGGTCCAGGTTTTGGTATAGCCCCCATATAACGGTACCTCCCGATATTCGTTATTTTTGATAATTTAGCGACTTTCTTCACCGGAATTTGGTATTTGATTTTCGTAATGGATACTACAGCCTATGACAGAAAATTGTCTGTGCAATTCCACGATTTGTATAGCCCCCATATAATATTTTTTTTTTTTTGTTCAGGGACAACTGGATCAGAAAAATTACTAAGTATATTAACCTTGGCTTGAATATCTGTGACCTTGTGTACAAAAGAACAGGTGATTATTATTTTAAAGTGTGTTGGGAATAATAAGCCTGTTTCACGAAGTGGTGTCGGATGCAAAGAGAGACAACACTTTCGTTGAAATTCACACGAAACCTAGGTAAATAAACAAACTTTTTTTGTGAACGAATGTAGTCTTTTTATACCATATATTATATTTGTAACACCTCCAATTATTCTTCCTCGACCACATAGAGAATATGTTCTTGATCAGCATAAAATTCAAAATCGATTTAATGACATCTCTTAAACTTATGAGCGAATTTGGGATAGTATTTGTATTTGAAATTCTGTATTTGTAGTTTTATGGAATTTTTTCAAATTTGATATTTGAAACCCTATCATTTCACTGAAAAAGACTTGTTCAAAACTGTCGACTACGAATTAGTCGGTGCTGGTTTAACTGTCACAAGTGGACTAAAAATAAATAATTAACAACAACTAGTTTTCCAATTTCATTATAATGAATACCTCATCTGATTGCGTTTTCTCCTTACCTCACCGCCGACTGAACACCATATGCAGCGCCGTCAAAAATAACGTGTCCCGCTTCGTGCTCTGAACTCAACTCTAATTGCTATTTTGCTACAACTACTCCTTAATAAGATTATTTACATTATTTAAATAATTTAAAATAGAAGCTATTAAATTAAAAGCTTGCAACAACTCCACCCAAGAAAATGCAGCTAGCGAGATAGACCCATAGTTGCTGTTGAGGATTGAGACATATTACAATATTTGTTTGGTCTAGGGACGAACCCTATGGAAATTGCTAATGATCGGTTTAAATTTAGATATAGCTCCCATATGTATCTTCAACCGATTTCGGATTAATTGTGCACCAAATGGCCAACATAATTCCAAATGAGCTGAATTTTGCCACATTCGACCGAATTCAGTCTGGAAGCAAGTGCCTATATTCTCCTTAATTACATATGTTATGTTCTAAAAATTACACACCCTCTGGTCATTTCATGGAAATAAACCCATTATGTCGTTATATTATTTTACATATTGTTGCATACATTTAGGCATTCCTCGCATAAACATTTTATACGCTACACCCTGTAGGCATTGAGAAAAACATAAAAACGTGTCACCCCTTACTTATGTGAACCAAGCAAACCATATGTCGATTGGCAGACACAATTACCGCGTAAAAACTTTCCAGCATCCGCTGAATGTTTGTAATGATTTTTAACAAGAAATTTCGAGGCATACATTTTAGAATAAAAATAGATATCCTCTGTCCGACAAATAATATTTATAAAAAAATATTAAGTAAAATGACATCCTATGACCCTCCACCATTATGCAAAAAAAATCATTTTTATACAAAAGTATCTGAATTCAAACTTGTTCCACTTTAAACTACAAACTCCAGTAATATCGGAGGAGAATGTATTTAGTTTTCAAAAAACAATATAGTCGTTAGAGCCGTTAAATGGTGGCCATGCCAAAAGACAATTTTATACTACAAATATTGTAATCTATTGCGAGTCCTAAATACCAAAGGTGACTAAATGAAACTCGGATTGTCAAAATACCGAATATCGAATATATATCAAATATTAAGATAATATACAATATGAAGATCAAACACCAAATTTCTCACAAATCTATTGAAAAATGTGGCTTAAATACGGAATATCCGAAGGCACCTTTATATGGGGGCTATACGAAAACATATACAATGTTCTGCCACTGGAGCTAAAACCCATAACGAACTACAAATACCAATTTTTAGAAAAATAGTTGGAAAATGTGGCTAAAACCATAAAAAAAATCGCAAGCTACCGCTTGGCAGACTCTATTCTAGTCCAAGCTTGATCTATGATCAAAAAATTCAATCCAATTGAAAGATTATTGGTGATCATATACATCAAATTACAAGAAGTATATATGAGAGCTATATGAATGTAAATTTGAACCGATATCACAAAAGATGTCATAAAAGAATTTTGTACCGAAAAAGCATGATTTGTTCACATATTTCAGGCGCAAATATTGCTTATTCCCTAATTCAAAATATTTCTGACGACACTACCTATTCAATACACCTTTGACTGGGAGATATATTATTGGAATATATTGGAGAATTTATTATTTTTTGAAAATTTTCATTTGGTTAGTTTTAATATCGATACTTTGAGTATCAGCAAATTTTACAATAAATATCTGAATTCTAAACAACAAATGTACGAAAATTTTAAAAATGACGGAACTTTTTCCACAAAATTTTCTTACGAGGATATATTTATAAATAAATACATATTTATTATATATATTAAGTCTGTCATTCCATTTGTAACACCTCGAAATATACATTTTAGACCCTACAAAGTGTTTGTATTCTTGATCAGCGTAAAATTCAATGTCGATTTAGCGATGTCCGTCCGTCTGTCCGCCTAACCGTCAGTCCGTGTCTGTGGAAATCACTCTAGCTCCCGAATGAAATGAAGTAGGTTGACAAAATTTTACTCAAATGTATATTAAATCTGCAGGTATTGAAAATGGGCCATGTAGGTCCAGGTTTTGGTATAGCCCCCATATAACGGTACCTCCCGATATTCGTTATTTTTGATAATTTAGCGACTTTCTTCACCGGAATTTGGTATTTGATTTTCGTAATGGATACTACAGCCTATGACAGAAAATTGTCTGTGCAATTCCACGATTTGTATAGCCCCCATATAATATTTTTTTTTTTTTGTTCAGGGACAACTGGATCAGAAAAATTACTAAGTATATTAACCTTGGCTTGAATATCTGTGACCTTGTGTACAAAAGAACAGGTGATTATTATTTTAAAGTGTGTTGGGAATAATAAGCCTGTTTCACGAAGTGGTGTCGGATGCAAAGAGAGACAACACTTTCGTTGAAATTCACACGAAACCTAGGTAAATAAACAAACTTTTTTTGTGAACGAATGTAGTCTTTTTATACCATATATTATATTTGTAACACCTCCAATTATTCTTCCTCGACCACATAGAGAATATGTTCTTGATCAGCATAAAATTCAAAATCGATTTAATGACATCTCTTAAACTTATGAGCGAATTTGGGATAGTATTTGTATTTGAAATTCTGTATTTGTAGTTTTATGGAATTTTTTCAAATTTGATATTTGAAACCCTATCATTTCACTGAAAAAGACTTGTTCAAAACTGTCGACTACGAATTAGTCGGTGCTGGTTTAACTGTCACAAGTGGACTAAAAATAAATAATTAACAACAACTAGTTTTCCAATTTCATTATAATGAATACCTCATCTGATTGCGTTTTCTCCTTACCTCACCGCCGACTGAACACCATATGCAGCGCCGTCAAAAATAACGTGTCCCGCTTCGTGCTCTGAACTCAACTCTAATTGCTATTTTGCTACAACTACTCCTTAATAAGATTATTTACATTATTTAAATAATTTAAAATAGAAGCTATTAAATTAAAAGCTTGCAACAACTCCACCCAAGAAAATGCAGCTAAAGAAATTGGCAGAATATTGTTTTATAAAGTCATGGCACACAATGTCACTGCCCAGTTGCACGAAAGACACCATACGGAAAGCACGGCGCAAGAAAAACAAAACAATTGTAAAAATATAAAACGTGCACAAAAAAGTAGAAAACCCCTCTGTGATATAATTTAAAACGGAAGTTCTTCTAAAAACTCAATGCAAAAAAGCTAAGAACTGAGTGATTGTTTTCTTTGAATGCGGGAAAACTATAACCAGTTGCGGCAACTGGTGGTTGCGATAGAAATATCCAAATCGAGTCACAAAAAAAGCGCGACCGGGAGGTGTTCATATACTACGTTTAGCTTTTTTTTGCTCGGATTCTCTGCATTAAGGAGTTACCTCAAATACATTAGAAACACGCAAACATTTGGATTAAAGGCTAAAATATGTCAGTTTATGCATGGGTAAGCTACAACAAATATAAGAACAACTAGATTGGTGTTTTTGTTAGCATTGACACATTGATTTGATAAACAATAGAAAACGAGGGACCCATCATACAGTTATTACAGCCTATGGAATGGGAAGTAAAATATATTTCGGAGTTATTGCATTTATGCATCTCAAAAATCAATGGCAGATTGGGCTTACTACGTTTATTGCTCTAGAATGAGAAAATCTTTTTCAAATTAAAAATTCGTTATATCGATAGACTTGGTCACACAATTACAATGGCTTCCCAAGTATTCACGTGTTTTATGCGTCTTAGAAAGGTGATGTCGATGGTTTTGGTCTCTAAGACGGCAGCTTCTAATTGATTACACTGTATTCATATCTTCATCGGATTGGGGAGAGGGTATTGTGCGTCAAAATCCGTGTAAAATCTGTTGTTCCGTGCTCCTATCCATTTGTAATTACTTTACGGTCCCCTTTACGTGCCAATTGCTCCAACATTTTCCTTGAACTTCAGGCTCAGATTCCGATGAGAGTTTTAAACTTAAATAGTTCAAAAACTTAATTTGTAACATGAAATCTGTTTTTAATTATTATACCCTCCACCTTGGAAAGGAGGGTATATTAACTTTGTCATTCCGTTTGTAACATCCCTAAATATTCGTTTTAGACCCCATAAAGTATATATATTCATAATCAGCATAAAATTCTAAGTCGATTTAACGATGTCCGTCTGTCTGTCTGTCTGTCTGTCTGTCCGTCTGTCTGTCTGTCTGTCCGTCTGTCTGTCTGTCTGTTGAAATCACGATACAGCCCACATTATTTGACGTAGAGCTCCAAAATTTAGCAGAGCTATTTGCATTGTGTCTAGGATGGTTGGTATTGAAAATGAGATATATCGGTCCACGTTCTGGTATAGTCCCCATATAACGGTACCTCCCGATATTCGGTATTTTGATGATTTATGCCACATTTTTTCACGGATTTGTCTTAAAATTGGTATTTGTAGGTCATAGCGGCTCCCTGAGCGTGTGGCAAAACATTGCATGTATAGGTCCACGTTGTGGTATAGCCCCCATATAAAGGTACCTCCCGATATTTAGTATTTTAGTTTTTTTTTACCACATTTTTTCACCGATTTGTCTAAAAATTGGTATTTGTGGGTCATAATGGTTTCCAGCTCCGGTGGCGGAACATTGCATGTATGGGTCCATAATTTGGTATAGTCCCCATATAACGGTACCTCCCGATATTCGGTATTTTGATGATTTATGCCACATTTTTTCACGGATTTGTCTTAAAATTGGTATTTGTAGGTCATAGCGGGTCCCTGAGCGTGTGGCAAAACATTGCATGTATAGGTCCACGTTGTGGTATAGCCCCCATATAAAGGTACCTCCCGATATTTAGTATTTTAGTTTTTTACCACATTTTTTCACGGATTTGTCTGAAAATCGGTATTTGTTGGTCATAATGGGTTCCAGCTCCGGTGGCGAAACATTGTAAATATAGGTCCACGTTTTGGTATAGCCCCCATATAACGGTACCTCCCGATATTCGGTAATTTGATGATTTTTGCCACATTTTTTCAGGGATTTGTTCGAAAATTGGTATTTGTTGGTCATAATTGGTTCCAACTTCGGTGGCGAAACATTGCATGCATGGGTCCATGATTTGATATAGCCCCCATATAACGGTACCTCCCGATATTCGGTTTTTTTATGGTTTTTGCCACATTTTTTCACTGATTTGTCTTAAAATTGGTATTTGTGGGTCATAATGGGTTCCAGCTCCGGTGGCAAAACATTGTAATTATAGGTACACGTTTTGGTATAGCCCCCATATAACGGTACCTCCCCATAATCGGCATTTTAATGGTTTTTGCCACATTTCTTCTAATGTTTCTTTTACCCTAAGGTGGAGGGTATTAAAAGTTTGGCCCGGCCGAACTTAATGTTTTTTTACTTGTTTATCATCGCCTTGAAATTCTTATCCACCAATTTCTAAAGTGGCCACATAATAATTTCCGATTTAATGTACTTTTTTCAACCGAATTCATTGGGATTTTGTATTTTTCTTTATAATTATAATTTTCTAATATCATGAACCCTATATACGAGTTCAAATTGTAAGGGAAAATGACGTCAGGATTCGTGGGCGGCTCTGGTATCTCTTTATGATGTCACAAAATATGCCATGCGTAGACTTCAAGCTGCTCATGTACCCTCACCTTTAGCCAAACTTTCCCAAATTTAGTACCATTTGGTGAAGTTCGCACACTTAGTATACATTTTCAAAACCACCTTGATATATCAAACTTACTTTCCAACCTTTTTTCTCATATTAAATGTCAAGCTTTTAGCTCCATCCGTTCACATGACACTGAATGATACCATTTTAGAAATCTGGCACTATTTTAGAATTTTTCGTAGCCTTTTGGTTGGAATTCGCAATATAAAGTCCTTTATTTATGGTATATCATGTTGGATATTCCTTTAAAAAATCGGAATAAAGCAATCATACAAAGTGTATCATTTGTATATTTGTATGGAACGTTAAAATATGTATACCTTGGTTATGAACTGTTAAAATACACCTTGGCTTTACTTCCAGAAATGTATTAAAATGGTGTCAAAAAAAAAAAATAAATAAATTAAAAAATAACAATAATAAATTAAAAAATAATAATAAATTAAAAAATAATAATAAATTAAAAAATAATAATAATAAATAAATAATAATAATAATGAATAATTGAAAAAGGCTTCAAAAAATATCTTATCTCACCTTAGCTTAGGGAAATTAGTGTTCCAAAAATACATAACAATTATTTGGTATACGTGTAGTTTTTGACGAAATTATTCATTAGCCTTTATGCTTCAATTTTCTGGTTTTCGATGTTTTATTGCTGCCATCCAGAGAGGTTCTACATTTGTATAAATTCTTGGAAAAAGTTTTCCTTTTAAAATGTGGATTTCGAAATTATTTTCAATTTCACACAGCCTACTATCAATATTATTTTTTCTGCAATCCATCAATTAAAACATTGAAGCAAAATTCGTGTAAATAATGTCTTACAATATTTTTCCACACATATTATACAAGCCTTCCGTCCAACCATCATTGTATTTGTTTCCATCGCTACTAATGTGCAGCCAACTTTTTACAGTATTTGCAATGGAAATTAATTTCTTTAGTAGTAAAAACGCATAAACTTTACACTTATTCTTGGCATGCAAAGACCGAAGGAAAACCTACTGCATTTGCTGCCTGCCTGCCCACATTAGGGACAATGGACGAACTTAATAAATGAACTAATCTCAATTACTTTATGACTTCCTTTTTGGATTACATTTTCATTTAAATATCGTTTCGCATTTTGCAGGGAGCCAATTCACATGGCCAACTCGGCCTTGGTCATGAATCGGAAATGTGCACAACGCCGCAATTATTGAAGAAATACTCGTTCACACCGTCAAGTGTGCGATCTATTAGAGGTGGTGGCGGTCATGTGCTGGTTTTGGATGCTTGCGGCCAAGTTCATGCCTGTGGTTGGAATAATCGAGGTCAGCTGGGTTTGGATTTAATTCGAGATTGTGTGAGTGAATTCAAGACAATACCGGGCAAGTTTTTTGAGGTAATACAGTAACAAATTGAAATATTTAAAACTGTTTTAATAATATTTGTTGTTTTTAGGATGTTGCCGTTGATGTAATTGCCTGTGGCTGGGATATATCTGGCTGCATAACCATGTCGCGCAAGCTATACGTTTGGGGTTCCAATGCCTTCCAACAGTTGGGCATTTGCCAACGTGGTTTTACTTCCATACGCAAACCGTTTCACATGCAACTGCCTCGTAATGATATTCCAGTGCGTGTGACCTTTGGTATGCGTCATACCGCCGTCCTAACAGATGATTCGAAAATTTACATATATGGCCGCTTAAGAACTGCCGACGGTTGCCCCGAAGAATTAAATGTAATAAAAATTAGTCAAAGTGCCATGGTTGTAAAACTTCTGCCCCGACTTAGTTCAGAACTGAGAATTCAGAATATTTCCAGTGGTCAGAATCATTTAATGATGCATCTAGCCCCGGCAGAGGATCAACCGGAAAATAATGCACCATCGCGAAGAGTTCTCATGTTGGGCGACAATAAATTTGGCCAAGCAAATGCCTTCCAATTTGATGAAGAAATTGTTCAAATCGCCACAGGTTGGACCCACAATGCTGTTATGTTAAAGGATTTGCGTATCATGATGTGGGGTCGTAATTGTTATGGCCAATTGGGCTTGGGTTCGTACACCGAGAACCATCCCACGCCAATGGAACTTAAATTATCTCCGGCTATTCTACCTAAAGAAATCCATTTGGGATCTGAACATGGTTTGGTAATGACCAAAGAGAGAGATGTTCTTACATGGGGATGGAATGAACATGGAAATTGTGGCAATGATTCCACACATAATCTGTAAGTAAAAATGAATTCAATGATTTAGTTTTTTTTTTATCCAATAACTAATAATTGTATATTTTGTATTTCAGTTCAAAACCAAACATGGTTGATTTGCCTACATCTTGTCAAACAGTTGGAACTGGTGCTGGGTTTTGTATGGTTATATGTGATAGAACTAATTAAATTGTTGTAATTTGTTGTTGTTTTGGTTAAAAAAAACAGTGTAGTATTAGTCACAAACATTAATAAGCTTTAACTATAAAATAAGTTTTATATTGCCTCATATTTTTTTTAATTATTTATGCACAAAAGCTGTATATGTATGTAATTACTTGAACGGATAAATAAAAAGCAATAGAATGAAAAGAAATATGGCGGAAGACCCTACGAAGATTAGAAAAAAAAACGAATCGCAGTGAAACATTTCTAAACATTTGCAGTGGCTAATTGTTGACATTTGGAAATGTTTCCATGAATATAATTCTATTTCATCTCCAATGTTGAGTCATCCAATAGAATATATTTTAGTTTTGCTTTTCCCTCACACACTCACACATAAAACAATACGAAATAAAAAACGAGTCCCCTTATCTGAATATCGGCATTGTTTTTTCGCACGATTGCAACATTATTGCATTTAAGTTCAGTCGTGTCTATTACGTTTGTCGGTATATGGCCCTCGGTAGTTTTACAAACCTAATCTTGGTGAAAGGTTTGAATTTTCAGAAGTTGATAAGTAAAAGAAAGTTCTGGCTAGAACCATTGAATGGATGGTATGAATTATTCTGGACAACTTCTTGTAAAACTGTTTTGGTAGCGGAAGTTCTAATCGAAGTTTTATACTTAAGTCACGTAACGTTTTTTAACAGTCCTTCTGTTGTAAGAGATGCGGTTAAGGCGACAGTCCTTATAATGTTTGTGTTTTCTGGTGATTAAGAATAAAATTTGGAAACAAGAATGAACATTTCTAGCGAACATTTATTTTAAACTATTCCTAAATTATGAGGCCTCCTGTTCATTACAAGAGTCTGGGTGCCAACTATTTAAATAACCACATTTAAATAGTTGGCACCCAGAAATGGCTAGAAATAGGAAAGACCACAGTTCTCGCTGCAGCAGCTGAACTGTATAATTTTTGGGCTTTCTTCAGAGATCAATGTCCCTGATATTATATTATAACACAAACTTAGATGGGAAAGGATATTAAGAGGCGATTTGTGGTTTAATGTCAGAATTCAAATGATCCATAAGCTTTATTAGACGCTGAAATTTAGATTGCAATTGACTGTAGATACGTCAAGATAAATTGTATATACTTAAAGTGATATGAATATCGAACACTCTATGCTGTTATTTTTGTTGTAGTAACAGCTCATACTACTGTGTCCGTTCTGATTCTTTTCTAACTCTCTGCTCTGTTTTTAACTCCAAATTGAAAAACAATGCGACCTGCATAGGATGAGTCCATAGCGACAGGAGTTAAGTGAGTAGGTTAGGTTGCGAATTAAAGCGCATGTACCATCCAAATCTCAATTGTGCCAAAATAACTCCTATTTGTCGCGGTAGATATCGTTCTTCTGCTTCAATGGAAGGGGATGATATCCGAGTACGGTATTCACTCTGTACTCCTCAATATCTTCTGTGACCCCGACAGAGTGAATAGCATTCCCTCCTGCTTGACATGACTGTTGAGCTAGAAACTCTCTCTCACTTTCTGGATCGTTAAGTTATTTCCTAACAGGAGGTTGCCTGTCCACCAAATGGTGATTGGGATGGCTCTGTTTATAACACCCAAACAGGTATTGCATTGACAGCATTTTATTATTTTATCACAGCGGTAACACCTTTGCTCCTTATGTGGTTCTAAGGGCGGTGTTCAGTTGCATTGAATATATTTTAATTGCACAGCGCTAACGATTGCAATGCACAACGGCGCCGCATAATTTACCACAGGCTGGGCTGTCGCGTTATAAGAGATCAACAAGGTTTCCATATCAGCACCCCAAGGATTTCCGGCAATGGATTTGAGAATCATGTTCATACTTCTAATCTCATTGCAGATAGCTGTGGTATGCGCGGAAGATTTAAAGAGGTAAGAGGTGTGGCAGTCGACATCGTGGCAACAATTTTAATATTTTTACCAATGAAGAAAACTCTGAGATCAGTAAATAATTGTTTAACCGATCGCATATTTCATAAATAAGGGGCCGGGCGCCTTAAGCGTATAGTCATCTCTACGTAATAATCGTTATTATCTCTATGTAGTCTAGAAAGCGTGGAATTCCAGAACTCTTTAACACTACAGATATTCGACTTCTTATTACAAACCTAACGTTTCTTTGGGTTAAAGAGTTAATTTTAATGGAGCTACCCCTCCAGCTGCTCAACCCCCTTAAATTCTTCAAATTTAATCTCTTTTTTTAGATACCTTTTTTTTATCCTAATTACTTTTTTGCAATATCTCCTATATGTGGAACAGAAAATCACGGATTAGAGACCGAAGCTAGGCTTTCTAGGCAAGATGCCACCAATGAGACCACCCATCCAAATGTGGAGAGGAGTGCCCCTAATAATTATCAGCAGGGTTTGCCGCAGTGTTCTACACATATAAAGGTCGGAAAAAAGATCTCATGGAGGCTCTTACACAGGTTGAGATAAAAAACTGCAACAAAGTCAAACGTACATATTTTTTTCTTTTTACATTTTATTAAATGAAAGTAAAAATGACGGAAATAGCATCAAATCATCATTTTAGAATAAGTTTAGATTTGTTCGAATTGGTCACCTTTTGCATGAATTATGGCCTTCAAACGGCCAATGAAACCGTCACACGCTGCCCGAATGTTGCTCTGCGGTATTTTGGTCCATTCCCGGCGAAGCGCTTGCTTGTGTTGATCGACACCCAAGGCTTTAATACACCCTCAGAATATTTTCGCGATAATATTCGGCATTTATTCTGATACCACGGTCGATTGATACGTTCGTTCTGGTGGCCAACTGAAATTGCACATTTTCAGCTGACCTCTTTGGCAAGTAAACACGATCATTTTTTTGTATACAAACTGCTGGACAACGAATGTTTTCTCATCGGAGAAAACCAAATTCGGAAGTTCACCACTTTCGGTCAAGCGAAGCAACTCTTTAACTCATTTGAGTCTATTTTCTTTATGTTGCGGTGTAAGTGCACTTTTTTGAATTTCAATGGCTTTACCCCGAGCTCATTTTCCAATATTTGCCGAATGGAATATTGTGATATGTTCAACTCACGGACCTTTTTTTTGGCCACCGCGACGCGGTTTTCGATCAAGTCGCCTCTTTATTTTTTGGAACCATTTCTGCTGATGTTGCTGTTTTCTTCCGTACACGGTAATGAGCGATAATACAAGACACAAAAGATTTATTCACATTTAAATGCTGGAGTGCTCTAACGATAGCCACTTGTGGGTTTCCAGCCAAATATAAAGAAATCTGACTATAACGCTTGAATTCCATAATGAATAACTTTTTTACTGGAAAATTCTCACCAAAATGCTTTTGTGCGCTTGTAAACAATATAATGACCTGTCACTGGAATAATTTTAACAGCTGTCGGACGAGTGGCTTAGAAATGACAGCAATCTGAAGTTGGTTGCAGTTTTTTCCTCTCACCCTGTATGTGTAAACCCTTTAAAGGTTTTTCCATCAATACAAAAACTAATGGCCCCAGGGATTAATTATCTAGAGTAAAGCTCATACAGGATACCTTTATGTGTAGAAGACCTTATGTAGGTATCGTAGCTATTGAAAACAATCTCTTATTTTTAGTCGAAATATGTATTAAGGCTGATTATATTGTTTCCATCTTTTTTTACCCTCAGCTTTAGCTACATAATTTGATACGTCCTAAAAGCGCCTCATCGGGACCATATACCGAGTAAATCGATTGTAAATCGATCTAAGAGAGTCCGTCCGTTCACTTGTCTAGGTGGTACGCACGATAACTCTCGAAGGGAGCTTCCGAAAGGGAACGATTCATTTTTGCAAATCCTAATATTTGTATCAGTGCTAGGCCAGGTGAGAAAATGGACAATATCGGTCCACTTCATCAAGTTCCTCCCCAAATGTTGGATAGTCATAACTCTTATAAAATGTGAAAGAATGTACTTCTTAACTTGTTTTAAAAAAAACAAAGGTACCTATTAATCAAATTAGAAGTAAAAAATTCTCTGAAGAAATTTCAAATCAAAGAGAAAATGTAAAAGATAACAACAATTATAAATTGATCACATACAAACACGTTACAGAAGTAACCGTTAAACGCCAACAATTTAAAATAACAAAAACAAAACTGAATTTCATTTCAACGGTTTGTTCTTTTTTCTCTGAGCTTATCTGGAGTGGAGACAAAAATTCATTAGAACACTCACAAGTCATTGCAAAATATGGCTTTGCAACAGCAACAGGAGACGGAAAAATTAGTTGGCGAAATGTTGAACTTTTTGGAAAGCAAGTTGGAATATCAAATAAATCTTGTCATTTAAATAATCACCACTTTTAATCATTTTCAGCAAGCAGTGAGGACGAGTTGGATTTGGAGGAGCAGTCTAAACAAGCCAGTGATTTGATAGAACAAAAGGAGTCTACGTTTCCGATGGAAGTAAATGAAAAAGTGGAAATAAAAAGAAGTGCTTCTGCTCCAAAAGATGTAGAGGAAATCCCACAGAATTCTAAGCTACCCATATGGAATACCAGAGAGATTGGTAACACAAAATTAATAATAAATTAATTAAAAACAAAATTAATACAAATGTTTTCTTTTTACAGTTACAAATCTCAAGAAAACCCAGTCGTTGTCTTTGTCTCCGTTCCAAGAGAATGCAGGTGTAAAACAACAATCCATTTGGCGACCTAAATTTCTAAATCATGTGGACAAAACAACATCGCCTTTGAGTTTAACTACCGATACCAATAACAATGCCATTCCAAAGAAATTCTCAACGGCCAACTGTAATGATGTTTATTCTCAAGAAATACGCAAAGCCCTATATGTCGACATAAGTGATCATCCATTAGCAGGTTCCAAGGAATATTATGATGCTGCTCAAAATTATGCGATTTATGGTAAAGATTTTCTAGATTTCCCATTGGATCTAACAACAGTGATGGGTAAAAAATCAACAGCTGGTAGGGATATGGGAACATATTCAACTACCTCAGCTATGGGACAATCATTAGCAGTTGGTGGTGGGTACAGTTTAAGTGACAGCGCCAACCACCAAATGGAAGCACACAATTTTGGGGTAAGTTGGAACTGGGCTTTATTTGAACAATTTCTACTAGAAAAATTGTGATATCTATTGCATTTATTAAATTATTTTTCGTTTATTTTCCAGAAATCTCAGATCAACACTTCCATGTCCGGTTATGGTATTTCTACAACAACTAGCCCTGCTGCTGCCACTTTAAATTCCACAGCAGCAACCTTTTATCAATTGGGTAGTTGTATTACATCCCAGGTTCGGCCGGTAACTAGCGCCAGCGCCAGTAACAGTTCACCAACTGCTCTTGGAGCTGCTACCTATGGTATGTTCATGGGAAACAAGGTAACATATGTCCCAACAGCAACTGCCACCAGTGGTGCATCCACCATGCTATACAATCAACATCCATCACATGGTTCCACAAATTTCATATCAAACAGTTTAGCCAATGCTGCATTGACCGCATCGCCCGCCATACTATATTCGAATCCGATGTTAACCTCCGCAGCTCAGCATTATTTGAATGCCTTCATCAAAGAAACACATATGATGAATAATGCCAATAACAGTGGAAATCCGTCGCAGATTTCCAGTTCAACAATTTATGAACGCCTGGTGTATGCACAAATGCTACAACAACAAATTTATCATCAAAGTCAACAGCAACAACAGGCTGCTATGGTAGGTGCCATGTTACACAAACAACGAGTTAATGCTGCCGCCATAGCTGCAGCGGCAAATGCAGCACGCCACACTGCAACAGCAGGAACTAATCAAGGCCAAAGTGGCATACAATCAGTTTCAAATTCAACAGCTAGTGGAACATCTTCAAGCTTAAATACCTGCAGTCGTCAAGCTTCTGCCGCTGCAAATACAACACATCTGCCAACTCAAACTGCTGTTAAAGCCAGTATCAGCGAAGAGTCTTCGAGTATGTCAAAGGATCAATAAACATTTTAGGAACTTAAATCACTATTGTTTTTGTAATTTTGTATGTTATCGTTGTTCTTTCGTTATTTAATTTCTGTTGTTATTAGTGATTCATTTGAAAATTGAAATACATGTTAATAATATATACGATGTTTTGGTTTGAATAACATAACGCTCGCTGAATATCTGTATACAGGGTGAGATGAAAAAACTGCAACCAACTTCAGACTGCTGCCATTTCTAAGGCACTCGTCCAACAGCTCTTAAAATTATTCCAGTGACAATCGTACAAAAGCATTTTGGTGAGAATTTTCCAGAAAAAAGGTTATTCGTGACGGAATTCAAGCGTGATAGTGTGATTTCTATATATTTGCCTGGAAAACCACAAGTGGCTATCGTTAGAACACTCCAGCATTTGAATGTGAATAAATCTCTTGTGTCTCGTACCATCGCTCGTTACCGTGTTAATGGTAGCGTAGCCCAACGTCAGGGAAGTGGACGGAAGAAAACAGCAACATCAGCAGAAATGGTTCGAAAAGTAAAGAAGCGACTTGATCGAAACCCGCGTCGCAGTGGCCGAAAAATTGCTCGTGAGCTAAACATATCGCAATATTCCATTCGAGAAATATTGAAAAATAAGCCCGGCATAAAGCCATTGAAATTTTGAAAAATTCAAGAACTTACACCTCAACAGAAAGAAAATAGACTAAAAGAGCTAAAGAGTGGCTTCGCTTGGCCGAAAGTGGTGAACTGCCGAACTTGGTTTTCTCCGATGAGAAAACATTCGTTGTCCAGCAGTTTGTAAACAAACAAAATGATCGTGTTTACTTGCCAAAGAGGTCAGCTGAAAATGTGCACTTTCGGCAACCACCGCCACCAGAAGTCAAGCGCCGGCCATGGTGATGGTGTGGGCCGCCATAATAGCCGATGGTCGCTCTCCGCTCGTATTAATCGACCATGGCAGCAGAATAAATGCCGAATATTATCGCGAATATATTCTGGAGGGTATATTAAAGCCTTGGGCACGCAAACATTTTGCCGCAGACCTTGGACATTCCAACAGGACTCAGCACCATTGCACTCAGCACTGAGGTTCCTCGCTTCATTTCCAGCGCACAATGGCCACCAAATTCTCCGAATAGCAATCCGTTGGACTATTGTGTCTGGAGTATTTTGGAATGCAAGATTGGCACTAAAAAATACCCAAGTGTCGATCACGTCAAGCAAGGGCTTCGCCGTGAATGGGCCATAATACCGCAGAGGAACATTCGGTCAAAGTGTGACGGTTTCATTGGCCGTTTGAAGGCCATAATTCGTGCCAAAGATGTCCAATTCGAACAAATCTAAACTTATTCTAAAATTTGATGCTATTTCCAACTTTTTTGCTTTCATTCAATAAAATTTAAGAAAAAATGTTGTAGTTTTTTATCTCACCCTGTATACAAACATACATTCGTATTTTGTGAACGGATACTGCTAAAATCTTGACATTGGGTAAAATTGAGTTTGGGAAGTAGTGTTGATATAAGCAGATGTTTTTAAAAGATGTTCGAAGTTTAACAAATGTAATATACCCTCCATACTATGGTGGAGGATATAACAATATATCCAATTTTGGGTGATATTCCATATATGGTAAACAATAACGGAAAAGATCGGATGAAGATGTATATCGAAGTTATATAAAAATCAGAACATTTGCTCGAAGTTTAACAAATGAACATCAGAAATCAGAACTGAACATTTTGGTGAACGGATTGAGATTTAGAGGCGGTTTTGGAAATACGTAATAAAATGAACTAAATTTGGAATTTGGGTATCACCTTTTGTGCGCATTGACCAGTGATTTGGAAATACGTACTAAATAGTATTAACTTTGGTATTTGGGGAAGGAATAGAGCTAGAAATCTGAAATTTGGATGAGTGTCTATGATGTTGTGTAGGATAGAGAAACTAAAAGGATTTTCGAAATTTTAACAATACGCGTACCAAAAGTATAAACTGTACCAAATTTGGTACCATTTGGAGTTGTGTAAACGGATAGAGGTAAAAACTTGAGATTTGATATGAGAATCAAGTCATGGAAATAGGGTTGATATATGGAAGTGGTCTTAGAAATGCTTACTACACTGATACAAAAAGTGCTAAATGATACTAAATTTGCTATAAGTCTGGTATAATAAATTTGACTTTAGGGCTGATGTGAGATTGAAAGGTGTTTCTGAAAATTAGTACTAAAAAAGTGCGGAAAGTACTAATTCATGATAGATCCTACAAAGTGTATATATTCTGGATCAGCGTAAAATTCTAAGTCGATTCGTCTGTTGTAATCACGCTATCTTTCGAACAAATTGAGATAGAAGGCTAAAATTTTTTACACATATGTACTGGAGGTTAAGTTCGTAAATTCGCCATGTCTGCCCAAGTTTTCGTATAGCCTCCCGAAATTCGGTATTTTAATGATATTAGCGACATCATTCACCCGAATTATTTCAAGTTATATAACGGTACCTCCCGATATTCGGAATTTTGATGCTTTTAGCGACATTATCTTCCCGATTTTTTTTCTAATTTCGTATTCTAAGTTTGTACTACAGCCTACGCAAAAAATCCTATGAATCTCCACGTCTTCGGATAACCCCTATCTATATAACCCTACTTCCCTTTATTAGGTATTTTAATGATTTTAGCGACATTATTCGTCGGAATTGTTTCAAATTTTGAATTCGTATTTGAAGATCTTAATGGGCACTGCAGCTTATGACAAAAAATTACTTATTCAGGTGCACGTCTTGGAACAACTCTAGTTTAGTACAAAATCTTAAATTTTCTCGAATTTTTTCCGGGTCCGTCCCAAGAAAAATATAGTTTGCCGGGATCAGGGTAAAAATACTTACCACTGGAAAAAAAAAATTAAAAAATACGAGTTTTTACTAAATAAGAGTTCAGCCCACGTCTTCGTATAACCCCCGTATAAAGGTCATAATTTACATGGTATTTTTCGGAATTCATTGAAATGTTTCAAGTTCCCTCAAAATGGTGTAGAGTATTAAAAGTTGCAAAATTGGCTTTTAGATTATTTTGACAAAAAACTAAATTCGTGCATACTTTGTTCCTTTTTACGACGGCCAATCTGTTTTGCTTACACAAATCACCTGATTGCTAGCAATTTTTTGCAGGGATTTCTTCTGTTAACTTTACACATATTTTTCCTGCAATAGAGAACAAAACTTCCTTACTGTCTCGGAAAAAGTTGCTCGACAATTCCTACCTATATACTTTGGAGGATTTAATTTTTTCATGTTTTTATTGTTGCATTTACTTCTTCTTCAACCCCTCGCTACGGGGTCTTACAATGGTTATTGAATAAGATTTGTTATTTACATTCATTCATAAGTTGCCAGCATTGCCTATCATAGTTAACATCCAAAGTTTTGTTCAAACACATTTTCAAATATAGATGTCGCTGGCAAAAAAAATAGTTGATATGGTAACATTATTATCGCATGTGAGAGAAAATGTTGCTTTTTTAATGTTTCCTACAAAGAATTGGATGTAAAAGCCGAAAATGTTATGTGTTAAGGAGAGGATATATAAGCTGCTTGGCATAGTTTAAATATTTTTATACCCTCATCCATATGACTATAGATGGGTGAAATGAACTTTATATTAGATTCAAACTCGGCACATCCCAATTTTTCTATACACACAATATCTGGGAAAAGATGCGATATATCTGTAAATTCCTTCTGGTACCTCCCCCACAAATGGTTAAATATTTTTTAATAACTACCCCTTCTGGTACCTCCCCACAATGGGTCACAATGTTCAATACTTATATCTATCTCCCATAACTTGCCAATAGTGTAAAAATTGCTTTCTCTTAACGGGTGATCTGATGTGAATATAAAATTTATCGGCATCTCCACCACAAACAATTGTTCTCGTAGAATTAGAAATATATGTTCGATTTTCTTTGAATTTTCTACATCCCAATCACTATTAGATGAAGTGGAATACTTCGGTCCTCTTTATCTCCAAAAATTATCACATATCTTCTTCTCTATATCTATAAAAGAGGAAAATGTTTGTATGTTTGTTTGTTTGTTTGTTTGTAATTTATGGACTCGAAAACCGCTGAACAGATTTTTCTGAAAATTTCCATGTATACTGCAACATCGCCTGAAAGTAACATAGGCTATATACATTTTTGAAATTCCACTTGGAACTGGAGATATAGCATGAGAATCGGAGGTACCTCCCAAAAATACAGATTTTATATGCACATATCTATTGATCGATTACAGATACAGCCTCCAAATTTGGAATGCGTGAAGGAATTTGAAACAAAAATAAATTTTCCAAATTATATTGAAATCAGTTCAGATTTGGATATAGTTCCCATATATATTTTCGACCGATTTCGTTTATTTGATGAAACGTGTGATGGATTTTATCTAAAAAATGATTTCCCAAATTATATTAAAATCGGTTCAGATTTGGATATAGCTCCAATACACATTTTCGGCCGATTTTATGTATTTGGTGCACCAAACGCGATACGTATGCCCGATTCCAATGAAATTCGGCTTGATTGATTAAATTTGGTACAAAAATAATTTTGCAAAATTATATTGAAATCGGTAAAGATTTGGATATAGCTCCCGTATATATTTTCGAGGTATTTGTTTGTGTACGCATAAATGTATTACAATAATTACGCTTTTTATATTTTTGAATTTGTCTTTTTTTAACCAACAAATATTCGTATATAAAATTTTTAATGCACATAAAATCAAAAGGGGTAGCGAAGCGCACCGGGTTCAGCTAGTCTCATATAAAGTGAAACCTCTTTCGACCAATAATAAACAATACTCGCCATTTTAACGGAGCAATTTTATTTAGTTTCCAAAAATATTAGCTGTGTTCAAAATTTGAAACTCGTGATGATCCTTCCAAAGCCTAATTTATGACATTCAACAAGTCTCGTTAAATGTTTAAACAATAATCAGAAAACGTTTTTTAAGCCTCCCTTGACCGAGAATCTAAGACACCAATTAAAAGATTCCTAAATTAAATATTTTGCATTAAATAAAATCAATATCCAATTATTCTTTATAAATTAAACACTATTACTCAGCACTTTATTTACTTAGCCAAAGCAAAACCAACACGATTATGTTCGGCATCGAATGTTGTGTAGTATTTGCCAATGAAGACATCACCCAAAATCCAGAAATCAGTACCACCATCCTCAAAGGCAGAAGAGCATTGGTTGTCATCGGATTTAATAACATAATCACGACCTTCCAAGGTAAAGGTACCATCACCCAAACGGAAGGTAACAACGGGCAAATCATCGATCTTGGAACAATCCAACATATATTCGTAGGTGTCATAGCTAAAGGTGGCACCGATTTCCTTTTGGATTTCTTCGTATTTGTCTGTGGGCACGGCAATGAGGGAGGTACCAGTATCAGCAATAGCTTGGCAACGGTCACAAATTCTAACACCATTGACATGGGCTTCAGCCATTTCAAATTGCCAGTAACCCTGTTCGGAGACAGGGACATAGTGGAAATCGCCCTCATAATAACTATCATCATTGCCACCCAAAACCATAACGCCACCCTCATCAGAGGTACCACGACGGGCCAAGTAGAAAGAGAATACCTTTTCGGAAATCAAATGTTGGCTGATCATGTTGTACCATGGTGGAGTGACATCATCAACAGCAATCGACTTGAAGCCCATACCCATGATGCCATCGAAGGGAGCATAGACGAAGGTCTCGCCAGGTTCATTGGTGGCAGCAGCAAAGACTTGTTTTTTAATCTTCAAACCTTCAACATCAACGGTATCTTCAACCAGATAACCACTCAAGCTACCGGATCCATATTGAATGGAAAAGGATTCACCTTTCTTGACGTGAGTGGACGAGGCACTGGGATCGTAGGTATTGTGATTTTCACAGGCAGCATTGTCGGCAGAACAGGGAGCTACGGGGACCCACAAATTGGAGGAGCCGGTATCGAACAAAACCAAGAATTCTTGACCAGGTGTGCCAATGGTAATTTTTCCATAGTACGAGTCATCGACATAGTTGAAGAGTTTTTCCACCACCAAATCTCTGGTTTCCGCCTTGGGAGTGCCACCGTATTTGGCCTTCAATTTACGAATTTCATTGGCCTTGCTTTTGGTTTCCTTAACTTTAGTTATTGGAACTTGAACGAGCGTGGCCTCGGCTAAGAGGAGCGCACTCAATAGCACAACACACAATTTCAACATTTTTACTGGGAATGTCTTATTGTGGCCATGTATCGCCATTTATATAGTCAACGGTCAACAAGATATAATCAAAATTAATCTTTCCCACATATGGCGGTCAAAAACGCTTCATTAGATTGTGTTAATTGGTGCAGCGAAGTAACGATCCATCGAAATTGGGATTGACATATCATAAGTGCTTGGACTAGACGCCTGTTGACACAGTTATCAGGGAATTTCCTAGGAAAGGGGTACAAGTACAGACACTTTATCAACGGAGGTTAATTGTTTTCTTTGACAAATCACAATCTTTGACAATCAGTGTGAATTTCCATCGGGCCAAATTAGGTTTAAATTGCTTTATCACTGTATATATTATATACAAATATGTATGTACATAAGATAATCTTCGTGTATGTGGCTGTATGTACTTTTATTCTTGAAATTCTGGGGTTTCTTAAATTTTAATAAACATAAATATATACGTCGTGGTAAAAATAGGTAATGTTAAACGCAATTTCTCGAATATTAGAGAATGTAACATTATACCATACAAAGTTATTTCAACTTTCATAAGTCACATTTGAAATCAAGTTAGCTGTAGGAGTTATCAATGAGCAATTCAACACAAGATTTGCGTCTAGCAGGTGGCAGGACACACTATTGAGCAGGGAACTGCAGCAGGGAACACTGCATAAGAAGAGCTTTTTGGAAAATATTTGGCTGATTGTGTGCATATAATCATTAGCTTTCTGGGTCAGAATTCGGAAAAAAATCTTGGAAAATGTATATTATCTGAAAAGTTTGTCCGAGAATACTCTAAAGGAACATCTGATTTTGTTTTATAGTGCGGAATTTTATACACCCTACAATACTATGTGTTATATTGGTCCAAGATATAAAATGTGGATTTCCTATCTTAACTGGCTGAGTCGATTTCATGGCGGTGGGGCTAAGGGTAAGGTTAGAAAAGAAGCCTCCTAGAAGTTTGGAGGAGATGATCGCTACATATTTATTGACTAAAAATACAACAATTTCTTGATATTCATACTTACAAACCAATCGACTTGGAATTTTATGTGGAGCTAGAGTTTAGGGCTGGGTAGAAGCCTACAAATTTGGATAGTCATCGAATAATATTTAGCAAGTGAATAGACCATAAGTTTTATGCAAAAAATATGAAATTTTCCATTAGACTGTGAATATTTGCAATTCCAGCGAAATCAAAAATACACGAAAACGTCACATCTGACCGTTGCATTGATGCTGGTATCCAAGATATCGCATACATGGTAATAAAATATATACAATCTCATATATCAAAGAAGGGTATATTAGTTAGACCGCTTATAACTCAAGAACGGCTGGATGGATTTCGATAATTCTTACCAATTCATAAAATTTAGAAAAATCGCATAAAAGATTATGATAACAAGTTAAAAAATAGCGGTCGGTTTTGCCGTCAGATGCATACCCTCAGCCAATGTTCGCTTATTTAAATATATTTTGACTTCTGTTTGATGATTATTCAAATTATTGACCCTCTATGAAGTAGGTTTCGAAAGAATGGGCCAATATTGTCCATTTCGTATCGAACCTGAATAAATATCATATAAATATTGCAACGTGCCAGGTTTGAACTATATCGGCTATTTCGATCACTTTATATGAGATATAGCTGAACCCGGTGCGCTTCGCTACCCCTTTTGATTTTATATGCATTCAAAATTTTATTTACGAATATATGTTGGTTAAAAAAAAAACAAATTTAAAAAGTAAAAAAAAAATTATTGCACTACTTTAATGCGTAAATAACCAAAACCATTAGAAAAGCAGTAACATGACATACATACACGAAGGGTTTGTCCTTCGGATTTATTTATTTCATAGCAAATACCAAGTAAACTGCAATCTTTTGAAGTTGAGTGACATTTCTATTGCAATTAGTGAATTCGAGATAGCAACAATACTTCGCCGTAATAAGTGTATTTCAAATCAATTGTTGTGTTGTTTTTTAGTGTTAGCCTAAGGCGTTGTGGGTCAATGGTTCTTATTAAAATCATATCCCAATCTGATCCGATTTAAATATAATTTTAAAAAAATTACTTTTACACCAAATTCCGCCACACCTTTCATATTTCATTGAAATTGGTGCGTCAAATATGTGAAATCGGCCGAGAATATATATATGGGAGCTATATCCAAATCTTAACTAATTTCCAATTAATTTGCCACATTTATTATTTTAACCAAATTCCGCCACACATTCTGAATTTCATTAGTATCGGTCAAATATATCATATCTGGTGCATAACATATGTGTCATCGGCCGAAATGTATATGTTAGCTATACCCAAACCTCAACTGATTTCAATATAATTTGGCAATTTTTTTCTGGTGCTAGATTTTGTATCTCTCGCTTTGGGTGCATCAAATATGTGAAATCGGCTGAGTATATATATGGGAGATATAATCAAATCCGAACCGATTTTAATATAATTTGACTAATTTATTTTCTAATCAAAATTCCGTTACATATTCCAAATTTCTTTGGAATCGAACATACATGTCGTGTATGGTGCATAAAATACATGAAATCTGTCAAAAATATATATGAAAGATATATCCAAATCTGAACCGATTTTAATATAATTTGACAAATGTATATTTGTTTTAATTTCCGCTACACATTCCAAATTTCATTGAAATTAGAGGTACATAGCGTGTTTGGTGCATTAAATACATGAAATCGGTCGAAAATATATATGGGAGCTATATCCAAATCTGAACCGATTTCAATTTAATTTGACAAATTCATTTTGGCTCCCAATTCCGTTACTTATTTTAAATTTCATTACAATTGGAAATACATATCGTGTTTGGTCCACCAAATACATGAAATCGGCCGAAAATGTATGTTGGAGCTATATCCAAATCTGAACCGATTTCAATATAATTTGGGAAATCAATTTTTCAGATAAAATCTATCACACGTTTCAAATTTAATTGAAATTGGGGATACATAGCGTGTTTGGTGCATCAAATGCTTGAAATCGGCCGAAAATATATATGGGAGCTATATCCAAATCTCAACCGATTTCAATATAATTTGACAAATTTATTTTCGGATTAAATCCCCTCACACATTCCAAATTTCATTCGAATCGAACATTCATATTGTGTTTGAGGCATCAAATGAACGAAATCGGCCGAAAATATATATGGGAGCTATATCCAAATCTCAACCGATTACAATATAATTTGACAAATTTATTTTCGGATTAAATCCCGTCACACATTCCAAATTTCATTCGAATCGAACATTCATATTGTGTTTGAGGCATCAAATGAACGAAATCGGTCGAAAATATATATGGGAGCTATATCCAAATCTGAACCGATTACAATAAAATTTTTTAAACTTATTTTTGTTCCAAATTCCGTTACGTATTCCAAATTTGGAGACTGTATCTTCAACCAATCAATAGATATGTGCATATAAAATCTAAATTTTTGGAGGTACCTCCGATTCTGATGCTATATCTCCAGTTCCAAGTGGAAATTCAAAAATGTATATGGCCTATGTTACTTTCAGGCGATGTTGCAGTATATATGGAAATTTTGAGGAAAATCTATTCAGCGGGTTTCGAGTCCATAAATTACAAACAAACAAACATACAAACATTTTCCTCTTTTATAGATATAGATGTAATAATTTTTAGAAAATGTTTTAAATGTGCGTGAGGTACAAGATATAGTCGACCGAAGCATTCCATTTTCATACTTCATCGAATACAGATAAAAATATTGGTATGGTCAAACTTACATGAAAATCGAACATTTATGTCAAATTTTATGCGAAATCATTAATTCCATATTCATCTCAGGTTGACTCCCCACATAGGGTTCAAGACTTTGAAAATAAGACAAAATTGTCTGGAAGAAATGGTCCGATTTCTGGAAGAAATGGACCATTTTTATGATAGATCTTGATGGTTAATGGAAATATTGAGATGTACCAAGTCTGATTAAAATAGAATGTTAATTTCGCGTTTTATGAGCTTCAGGGATATTTAAAATGTTTACCCTTTGTGGGAGAGGTAACAGAAGGAGTGGACCGATATATCCCATCTTCACATCAGACCTTGGGTTAATAAAAAAATGTGAAATTTGAAGACAATCGGGCATATTTTATAAGAGTTATAATTATTCAAAATTTTGATCCTTTGTGGGGGAGGTACTTGTTGAAGTGGACCGATATTGTACCTGACATAGCACTGATACGAATATTAGGATTTGTAGCAAAATTGGATTATCCTGTAGCCATATGACTCAGGGTATAATATATATAATATATAATCCTAATATTTGTATCAGTGCTAGGTCAGCTGCGGAAATGGATACTATCGACAAACTCCATTATGTACATCCCCCACAAAGTATATGGTAATACCTTCCTCATAGAGGGAAAAATATGTGAATATCCATAAAGCTCATAAAATTCGAGATACCACATAGTGGTAAGGGTATTATGTCTTTGTTCATTTGTTTGTAACATGGAGAAGGAAGCGAGATAGACCCATAGTTACTTTTGAGGATCTTCATAGAATCACTTACTGAGTCGATTTATGTATGTCAGTCCGTCTGTCTGTCCATGTATTCTTAGGAATAAAATACAGGTAGCATTTTATGGTGACAATCGGATCAGATTTAGGTATAGCTCCCATATATTTTAACGGATTTCGGGTTAATTATGAACCAAATGGCCAATATAAGTCCAAATAAACTGAATTTTGTCACATCCAACCGAATTCAGTCTAAGTCCCTTACATTTATAATATAAACTAGCTGGCCCGGTCCGCGTTGCCGGCCCGTAGTTTTTGTCTATTATGCATATATTCCCAAGCATAATTATTCACAGATATGACTGATATAAGTGTTCACGTACAGGTCGATTTAAAGTGTTTTAAAATACCTGTACCCATTTTTAACCAGTGGGCTTCAATATTTAAACCGTGGGCTACAACTGTGTGGATGTGCTATACAAATCTATTAAAAAGTATATATCAATCTTATCGCCATATAAGGGATCAAATTAATTTTTAATATGGTAAAAATCGCAGCAAAATCTTCCAGTCAAATGAGCAGTAATTTGGAATTTGCTGTATTTTGTATACTACATAATTGAGGGCTGAATGATTTAAGAATAGCCAAAGTTAATTACTTTTTTAAACCCATTAGCAACTTAGATTGTGCATTAGAGTCCTCATAAGTCCCCCTAACCATGTCAGTCTGTTTGTCCGCCAAAAGGTGGACTTGAGAGGGTATTATAACATGGATAAAAATTCTAAAATTTGTAGATATGTTGAAATTTTAGTGTAAGATTTTCACCCCCCCCTAATACGCATTATTAGCCAAATTCTTTGAAATGTGGTTAAATTAGGAGGTACCTTCTTTATATGGGCACTACTCCGAAACATCGACCTATATTGAAAACTTTCTTCTACTCCTTATAATCCAAGATGACAAATAGAGGCCAAATCAAAAATATAGCAGAACAATATAGCATGTCATAGCATTTCGCGTAATTTAAATAAGTAAAAATAGTTTTATCCACCTCATAATTGAGGGCAGAATGATAAGATGGGAATTAATTTTATTTGCCATTTAAATTGTAAGTTGGAGACCCCTTAAAGTCCATATTTTCATCATAGGATAATTCAATGATGATTAAACAAATATTCGGTCCCGTGCTACTTTCTTATATTTGTAATTTCTTCATGTTTCCACAATTTATTTCATATGGATGCACATCCCAAATCTACGTTCCCAACCAATATTCTCTTGGGGGTTAAAAATTCAATAGAATACAAAATTTTCTTTTCTGACCACACATTAGATGTGAAAGTGGACTTGGGGATACTCCAATGTGGGGACTTTACTTAAATAAATTCCTATGTGGCAATTATCTGTATGATGGTTCCCTACCCCAGGGTGGCATAAATAAAATTTTTTAGCCAAATCAATTGATGAATGTGGTCAATACCAATATGGGCCCTACTCTGAAAATTTCAAATTTTATGCGAAGAGGTTATCTACCCCCTTAGAAACAAAAATGTCAAATAAGGGCCAAAAAATGAAAAAAGTGGCCGGCCAAGACCCCAAAAATAACTTAAATCATAGATGGTTATATAAATATGAAATCGGGTTGTTCCCTTATCCATGAGTTATGATCGATATAAAGACCTGCAAAAGTGATTTTAGGTATTTTGAATGTTTGGGAAGAATTTCTGGAAGGATATAAAACCTTTTCTTACTAAAAGTCCCATTCGCTCTACTATTTTGCACCTTTTATTTCAATATTGGTATATTACTTATTATTCTCCCAAAGAATTTTGCATTTTGAGCTCTCATTGGACGGATCATTGTCACGCTTTGAAATGAGCCCCATTAAGCTTTTTCGGTCATTTTTGTTTGTTTAAATGTGTTCGCATCTTTCAGCTAACCCACGATGTAGGCCCTGGAGTTGAAAGGTAGATGTCAGTTAACATCCTATTTCGCACTTATTTAATTTTTTTAGTGAAAAATTATTCTTTATTTTGTTCACAAAAAATCCACTGAATTCAATATGATAATACAAATTGAAAAAAAAAATTGACAAAAAAAAAAAAAAAGAATAACAAATTGAAAAAGTCTTCAACTTTTTCGCTGATTTTTTACAGCAAATGTTTTAAGATCCTTCCTTACAAAGTTTGTCAATAGAATGTACTATTACTTTAAAATTCGATTCCATTGAAAATGTTTTTTTGATTTTTGCAATGAGATCTCTTTTTCATGATTTTTCAGCGATTTAGAAAAAGTAATTATCTTTTAACTTTGGTGTGACCGCGTTAAATTATTTCGATATCATCTATTCCGTTTCGCCACCACATAATTCGCTACTACACTTCCATGTAACCCGCCATCAATTTCAGTTCTCAAGAAATCAAGTCAATTAAATAAATTGGTATAAATATTCGAATTCAAAAATAAAATATAAAAAAACACTACAAATGTACATTAGAAAAAAGTAAGTCAAAATGGAAAAAAATCATGCAAAATAAAACATTACTATTGTACATTTGAAAAGTCAAAATGAAAATGTTAATATATCACATTTTTACGCGATTTTTTTGGATATTATCCTTTTCGGAGAGTAGACAACTCCGAATTTGTGTGAATCGTTAAAATTAATCCAGCGGTTCTTAAGTTATAAGCGTAGTAACTAACACAACTTACATTTATATATATAGATTCGACAACAATGATATTTGGTACCAGATATGAGATACAGTCCAGAAGCTCTGCTAAATATGCATAGTGGTGTAGGGTATGATATAGTCGGCCCTGGTTTCACATCCTTACTGGTTTTATAAAAAATACATCTACAAGCACAGGATCAAAAGGGAAGTTGGGATATATCGGCCCACTCCTTCTGGTACTACCCCTACATCGGAAAAATTGTGAATAACCAAAATGCTCCGATTCTTTCTAAACTTCACACATTCTAATATATCTTCTATCTACTGGTACCTCCCACACAAAGGTTCAACATTTTTGACCAATATAAATCTCATAAAATTCAGAATAAGCATACAATTTTTCAAATTTCACAAAAGCTTTAACAGTTGGAATAATCAGAACGGATGTCATTCTTAAATACCAAAAGAAAACTTTGGCATCTTTGACAGCTCGGTCAGGGATTGTTGCCAGATTGTAATTTTTTGTTTTTGATCGTTTGAAGGTGTTATGAATATAAATCCGTTACTTTTTTATTTAAATGTCAAAATTGAATTGAAAATCATTAAGCTCGTCTCGAAAGAGAAATCAGACACATAAATCATAAAACATATGATCTTCGCCTTAATAAGGCAAAACTCAAAAATTCAGCCGAGCCTGGCTGTGGGATTTGAACCGCGGACCTCGGTGTGCAGCCAACTAGAAGTTGCCGTCTCTACGTTCAGAGCCATTAACCCGTCTTCCTAAAGTAGCACTAAAACAAGTGTATGCATTGGAAGCAATGTAGTTGTTGTGGACAAAAAATCCATCACTACAAAAACAAAAACTTTGCTGTGAAAAAGATCTGCCAATAAAACTTGAGTCGAACCTGGAGAGTTTCTAGTGTATAATTCGCATATGCTAATTTGCAATAAGTTCGAAATATATACTACTTTCCAGAGAACGGCCCTTGTAAGCCATCATCCACACCAAATATGCCTGATGAGCCGCTTAACAAAGGGCGAAACGCGTCGCATAGTGGTGAGTGTGTGATAGTGTCTATCTGGCTTTCCTTTTCACTGCAAATTTCAGATATTAAGCTCGTCTCGAAAGAGAAATCAAACACATAAATCATAAAACATATGATCTTCGCCTTAATAAGGCAAAACTCAAAAAATAAAATATTTAAAATTGCGCATTAGAATATTTATTAATATTGAGTTTATACAGCTAAAGCGAAACCTACACGATCATTCTCAAAATCGAATGAGGTATAGTATTTGCCAATGAAGACATCACCCAAAATCCAGAAATCAGTACCGGCATCTTCGAAAGCTGAGGCACACTGATCATCCGATTGGATAACATAATCGGAACCTTCCAATGTGAAGGTGCCATCACCCAATTGGAAAGTAACAACAGGCAGGTTATCAATGTTCGAACAGTCCAACATATATTCATAGGTATCTTCGCTATAGGTGGCACCAATAGCTTCTTGAATGGCTTCATACTGATCTGAGGGAACACCAATGAGAGAGGTACCAGTGTCGGCAATAGCTTGGCATTGGTCACACAATTGAACGCCATTGGCATAGGCACTGGTCATTTCGAATTGCCAGTAGCCCTTTTCGGAGACAGGAACATAAGTGAAGTCACCAGTATAATGATTGGCATCATTGCCACCCAAAACCATGAGACCACCATCATCAGAGGTACCATCACGGGTCAAATGGAAGGAAAACACCTTATTGGTAACCAAACCTTGATGGATCATGTTGTACCATGGTGGAGTGACATCATCAACTGCAATTGCCTTGAAGCCCATACCCATAATACCATCGAAGGGAGCATAGACGAAAGTGTCTCCAGGTTCACTGGTGGCAGCAGCAAAAACTTGATTTTCGATTTGCAAACCATCAACGTTGACGGTATCTTGGACTAAATAACCACTCAAACTGCCAGATCCGTATTGAATGGCAAAGGATTCACCGTTTTCAATATATGTGGAGGAGGCACTGGGATCGTAGGTATTGTGATTTTCACAGGCGGCATTGTCGGAGGAGCAAGGGGCTACGGGGACCCACAAATTGGAAGAACCGGTATCGAACAGAACCAAGAACTCTTGGGCAGGTGTGCCAATGGTGATTTTTCCATAGTACGAGTCATCGACATAGTTGAAGAGTTTCTCCTTTACCAAATCTCTGGCCTGGGCCTTAGGAGTGCCACCGTATTTGGCCTTTAATTTACGAATTTCATTGGCCTTACTTTTTTGTTCCTTAACTTTTGTCAATGGAACTTGAATGAGAGTAGCCTCCGCCAAGAGGAGCGCACTTAACAGTACAACTAACAACTTCAACATATTTTAAGTAAATATTGTATTGTGGAAATATTTTTCTCTCTATATATATAGTGAATTTATTTGAAAAGTAGGGTATAACAATCGATTTTTGTTTTTATCATCAAATGCTATTTATAGATTGATTTCTATTTTCGCAACATAATGATATGGAAAATTGACATATCATAAGTGTTTGAAATGAACTATGGGCACGAGCAAAAGATTATCTTTAATATTCTTACAGTAGTTTATCAGCATAAGTAATCTTCGAATGAAGGATTGGTAAAAATTTATTCGGTTTGAATTCATATTCAGAATTCGTGCATACTTTGCGGCGTCAAATATGCCAAATGGTCAGAAGAGAATTTGATAATCCATACCATTTTGACTGTTTGTGGAAAAGGGTGTGTCTCATGCCGCCTGTGCTCATATGACAAATTCATTTAAAGGTCTTAGTCTGCCCCGCTGAAAAGTATGAGTTAGCAGATCAGTACGGAAAATAATTCCTCTAAGAAAAATCGAAAATTATATTTTTATACCATCCAATATACATTTTAGACCCCACAAAGTACATATGTTCTTGATCAGCATAAAATTCTATGTCGATTTAATGATATCCGTCTCTCCGTCTGTGGAAGTCAATCTAGCTTCCGACCAAAATGGAGTAGGTTGAAAAAAATATTACTCAAATGTATATTAGGTCTGCAGGACTCTTGGTATTAAAAATGGGTCACATAGGTCAACGTTTTTGTATAGCCCACATATATGGTGCCTCCTTATTTTCGGTATTTGGATGATTTAAGCGACATTATTCACCGGAATTGTTTCAAATTTTGTATTTGAAATTCATAATAAATACTACAGCCTATGACAGAAAAATATCCATACAGGTCCACGTCTTCGTATAGCCCCCATATAACGGTACCTCCCGATATTCTGTATTTTTATGATTTTATCCAAATTTTTCAATGAAATTTTCTGAAATTCTACACAAGGAGTTCTTTGTGAGTACTTTAGCCTCTGGGAGAGAATTTACATCTTACAGGTTCACGATATCGTATATCCCTCATACAACGGCACCCCCTTATATTCGGTATTTTGATGATTTTAGCCACATTTTCAACGGAATTGTCTGAAAATTCACACAAAGAGTTCCTTGTGAGTACTTTACCCTCTGGCAGAGACTAGTCTATATAGGTTCACGATATCGTATATCGTATAGTATTTTAGCCACATTTTTCAATTGTATTGTCTGAAACTCCACATGAATTGTGCCAAGTTTTTCATTGGAATTGTCTTAAAATCCACACAAGGGGTTTCTCCTGAGTACTTTACCCTTTAGACGAGAATTGCCTAAATATGTCCACGTTTTGGTATAGCGTCCATAAAACGATACTCCCAGATATTCGGTATTTTCATGATTCTTGCGACATTATTCACCGGAATTATTTCAAATTTCGAATATAAAGTTCGGAACCGTTACTACAGTGTACTTTGTGTACTTATGCAGGACAACGTCTTCGCATAGCGCCCATATAACGGTTTTCATTCGATCGGTATTCTTCTACAGAATTTTTTGGATATTTTTCTAGTTTCTTCCAAATGGTGGAGGGTATAAAAAGTTCGGCCCGACCGAACTTAGCTGTTTATACACTACACCACATAGTGGTAAGGGTATTATGTCTTTGTGCATTTGTTTGTAACATGGAGAAGGAAACGAGATAGACCCATAGTTACTTTTGAGAACCTTCATAGAATCACTTTCTGAGTCGATTTATGCATGTCAGTCCGTCTGTCCGTCCGTCCGTCTGTCCATGTATTCTTGTGAACAAAATTCAGATCGCATTTATTATCCGATTGAGATGAAATTTTCCAAACAATATTTTTTTGGCCCAAGGACGAACCCTATTGAAATTGGTGAGAATCGGATCAAATTTAGATATAGCTCCCATATATATCTTCATCCGATTTCGGGTTAAATGTGCACCAAATATTCACTATCAGTCCAAATTACCTGAATTTTGGCACACCCAACCGAGTTCGGCCTAGAAGCAAGTATATCAAATTTGGAGAAAATCGGTTCAGATATAGCTATAGCTCCCATATGTCTTTCATCCGATTTGATCTTTAAGTCCCTCACATTCCTACTATGCACTCCACAACCGTGATATTTGGTACCAGGTATTAGATGGAGCACAGAAATAGCTGTTTTAAATTTTATCGAAATCGGTTCAGATTTGGATACAGCTTCCATATATATCTTCATCCGATTTCGGGTTAATTGGCCACCAAATGGCCAATATCAGCCCAAATGGCCCGAATTTTGGCACATGTGACCGAGATTAGCCTTAAAGCAAATACAACAAATCGGTTCAGAAACAGCTATAGCTCCCATATATATGTTTTATCCGATTTGGTGTTTAAGCCTCTCACATTCGTAATATGCACTCCACAAGAATGATATTTGGTACCAGATAAAAGATACAGCCCAGAAATAGCTGTTTGTAATTTTATCGATACCGGTTCAGATTTGGATATAGCTCCCATATATATCTTCATCCGATTTCGGGTTAATTGTGCACCAAATGGCCGATATAAGTCCAAATGAACTGAATTTTAGTACATCGGACCAAATTCAGCCTAGAAGCAAGTATATCAAATTTTGTGAAAATCGGTTCAGATATAGATATAGCAACCATATATATGTTTCATCCGATTTAGTGTTTTAGTCCCTTACATTCGTAATATTCACTCCACAACCGTGATATTTGGTACCAGGTATTAGATGGATCACAGGAATAGCTGTTTTAAATTTTATCGAAATCGGTTCAGATTTGAATATAGCTCATATATATCTTCATCCGATTTCGGGTTATTGACCACCAAATGACCGTAATAGCATCAATTTTGGTAAATCCGACCGAAACCAGTTTAGAAGCAAGTACACCAATTTTAGTAAAAATCGGTTCAGATATAGCTATAGCTCCCATATATATCTTTCATCCGATTTGGTCTTTAAGTCCCTCACATTCGTAATATGCACTCCACAGGAATGATATTTGGTACCAGATATCAGGTAAAGCCCAAAAATAGTTGATTTTAATTTTATTAAAATCTGTTCCGATTTGGATATGCCTCCCATATATATCTTCATCCGATTTCGTGTTAATTGTGCATCAAATGGCCAATATCAGCCCAAATCACCTGAATTTTCGTACATAAGACCGAAATCAGTCTAGAAGCTAATACGTCAAATTTGGAGAAACCCGGTTCAGAGATAGCTATAGTTCGTAAAATGCACGATAGAATTAGATAGATTTTGATTTTGTACCAAATATCTCATAGAGCTCTGAAATGCCCTGTATAAACCTTTTTACGAGAGCTCTACTAAATATGCATAGTGTTGTAGGGTATCATATAGTCGGCCCCGCCCGACTTTTGAGCTTTCCTTACTGGTTTTACTTGTTAAATATAATATTACTATCAGAATGTTGGATTGGGTTATAGAGATAGTTTTGGAAATTTGTACTTGTGTGTAGTCTGAAAATTTCGTACCATGAATGAAGTTCTGATTACATTTTTTGGAACTAAAGAAATTGTTCCGTAATAAGACTAAAAAGGCCTAACACGAACTATTGCATCGAATCTAAAAGGTGGATTTTTCGCTGACAATTGCATTTCCTAGTTTTATACCCTCCACCTTGGAAAGGATTATATATTAAATTTGTAATTCCGTTTGTAGCATCCCTAAATATTTGTCGTAGACCCCATAAAGTGTATATATTCATAATCAGCATAAAATTCTTAGTCGATGTATCGATGTCGATGTCCATCTTTCTATCCGTTTGTCTGTTGAAATCACGATACAGCTCACATTATTTGACGTAGAGCCTCAAAATTTAGCAGAACAATTTGCATTGTGTCTAGGAATTGTTGGTATTGAAAATGAGATATATCGGTCCACGTTTTGGTGTAGTCCCCATATAACGGTACCTCCCGATATTCGGTATTTTGATGATTTTTGCCACATTTTTTTCACGGATTTGTCTGAAAATTGGTATTTGTGTGTCCTAATGGGTTCTAGCTCCGTTAGCGAAACATTGTATGTATAGGTTCACGTTTTGATATAGCTCCCATATAACGGTACCTTCAGATATTCGGTATTTTGATTATTTTTGCCACATTTTCCCACGAATATGTCTAAAAAAATGTATTTGTGGTTCATAATGGGTTCTAATGTTCTCTTAACCCTAAGGGACTAAAAGCTCGGTCCGGCCGAACTTGATGTTTTTTTACTTTTTTTTCTCATAATTTCATTGTCTAATAGCAAGTTGAAATGCCAAACTTTTTTGGCCTTTATATATCCTTGACCAACTACAATTATTATTGTGACCTGTAGAGAGGCTGTAAAATGAGCAAAAAATTCAGTTTTTGGTCCATTTAATAATCAAATATTTGGTAATCACCAAGAAGACTTATATTCTTATCCTAGCCCTGACCACATGTACAAGTCGTGAGGATCTGACCGCAAGAATTATTACAACGCATGGCTACATCACCTTAGTTCGTCGATATATGATGATCGGTATACTAAATCGTGGGTCTAGGACTAATATTTCCAGTTCTTTCGAACTTTCTAACCCAATCAACTTTATAATAACCTCAAGACATTATGTTGTAGTGTATTAAAAGACAATAAAAATTTACCATTACGTTACAATTTTTATTTTTACAGATTACAATAAAACATTATTAGACTTCACAAAAATACGCAAACTGCTTTACTTAGCATCGGCGAAACCAACACGATTGTTACCCAAATCGAACACTGTATAATATTTACCAATGAAAATATCACCCAAAATCCAGAAATCAACACCGATATTCTCGAAAGCAGTGGTGCAAATGCCATAATTTTGCAGAACATAATCCTTGGCTTCAATCGTGAATTTACGGCCACCAATATTGAAATTCAATGGGGGCAAACTGTCGATACTGGCGCAGTCTACAACATAAGCACCAAACTCTTCATTGAATGTGGCACCAACAGCCGCTTGAATATTCTCATATTGATAGAAGGGAGCAACCAGAAGGGAGGTGCCAGTATCAGCCACACCTTGGCAATTGTTGCAAACATTCACACCATTCACCTCACCCGAAGCGATTTCGAATTGCCAATAACCCTTCGATGTAACGGGGACATAGGTGATTTCACCGGTATAGTGATTGGGATCAATACCACCCAAAACCAATTCACCACCATTTTCAGCTGTACCCTCACGAGCCAAATAGAAAGCAAAGACATCGGCATCAACCAATCCTTGGGAATACATATTGTAGAATGGTGGCAAAACATTGTCCTGGGCAATGTTTTTGTAACCCATACCCAAGATGCCATCGAATGGAGAGTAAGTGAAGGAGTTACCAGGTTCATTGGTGGCAGCAGCAAATACTTGATTTTTAATTGTCAAACCTTCAACGGTGACGGTATCTTGAACCAAATAGCCCGACAAACTGCCAGAACCATAGGCAATATAGAAGGGTTCGCCATTGGCCACATAGCTGGAGGAAGCACTGGGATTGTAGGTATGATGATTTTGGCAGGCAATATTGTTGGCGGAACAGGGAGCAACAGGAACCCACAAGTTTGAGGAGCCGGTATCAAACAACACCAAAAATTCCTGTGGAGGTGTTCCAATTGTTATTTTGCCATAATACGAGTTATCGAGGTAGTTCATCAAATTCTCCTTGGTAGTGAAATCGGACTTGTTATATTTTCCCTTCAGCTTCAACAATTCATTTTCTTTGGTTTTTTGGAATTCGGACCAATGCAGATTCGGCCAAAATGGCCAAGCACAATAAGGCAACAAACGACTTTAACATTTTTTGTTCTTCTTTTACTTCGATATAATCGCAGACGATTGGAACTGATTGTATCTTTGAATTGCATTAACTTTTATATGATTTGCTTGGGTAAAGATGTTAGAAATATTCCTAGATACGTTATAGCGATAGATAGTAGTGCCAGACATAAAGAATTTTCTACTCTTGAACTGTTCTTCAGCTTACAGGTGTCATTAAGTGCATTATCTTCATTCCACTGTAATCTGCCATCAGGTTACAAAAAAATTTGATAACAATTTCAAGTATTTGTTTAGTGTGGGCACATGCATTATCCAAAATTTCAAGTACTGTAGCACGTTTAGAGGCTGTATAGCGAAACACTTGTGAAACAATAGATTAGGATTCCACAAGCGCTTTAGATGAAATTTTTTATAGAAAATATGAACTTTGGATTTCAAAGCATTGATATCCGAAGGCACAATTTCTATAAGGTTAATTTTTTTCAACCCTAAGAATTTCGAACACCAGACGTACGAAAGGAAATACGAACCATATGTGTACTAAAAAATTAAATTTGTGGATATTAGTAAAACCATTGCACAATGGAACCATATCCAATTTTTCTGTCTTATATTGGAATGTCTCAAATTTCAGAACTATCCCTTCCCCAATACCAAATTCCGTAATAACTTAGTACTTTTTGAGCAATTATAGAACATATTTTCTAAAACCACTTCCATATCTAAACCACAGACACCAACAGTGACATCTAAATAAAATTTAAGGATTTCAGCTCCATTGTTTCCCCTAATACCGAATTTAGTACTATTTAGTATTTTTCGTACAATTATAGTATACATGTCCTAATTTCAGGATTTTAGTACTACTTCTTCACCAAATTGAAAATATCAAAATATAGTACACATTTACAAACCACTGCCATATCTCAATTCCAGATACGAACAGAGATCTCAATATTAAATTTCGGGATTCCAGCCCTATCCCTTCACAACAAAAATTTAGTACCATTTAGTACTTTTCGTTCAAATACAGCCAAATAACAAATACCATTAGTAATCTTAATATTGAATTTCCTTCCTCCTTCTCCCAATACAAAATATACCATTTGGTACCATTCAGTACAATTATAGTACACATTTTCGAAATCACCTCCGTAAGTCCTGGCTACACATGAACAGCGACCTTAATACCAACTTTCAACCACTATCTGTTTAACCAGTACTAAACTGTACCAAAATTAGTTCAATTTGGTGTTTTTCGTGCAATTATGGGACATATTTCCAAAACCACCCCATTTCTCAATCACAGATACCAACAGAGAACTCAATAATAAATTTTGGAATGTTTGCTTTATTCTTTCAAGGTACATTTTTCGTATACATTTCCAAGATCATATCTCAATCCTAGACGGTTTTAGCTCTATCTCTTCACGCAGTAGCAAATTAAGTACTTTTTCGTACAAATATAGGACGCATTTTCAATCACCACAAAATCTTAAACAGAGATCTTCAGTATTCTAAATATATAATTTCAGAATTTTATCTCTATCCCTTCGCCCATAGGCAAGTTTAGTACTATGTAGTACTTTTCATACAATTATCCAAAACTTCCTATCCTACACTCCAAATTTCTAAAACTACTTCCATATCTCAATCATACAATCCCATAGGAATCTTAATTCCAAACTGTAGAAGTCCATTTCTATCGGTTCACCACAATTCCATTTTGTACCGATAGAAATTTGTTCACCCAAATCCAAATTATACCAAATATAGTACCAGTACAAATTTCCATAACTACCTGCTTCATACAATCCCATAGACATTTTATTTCCAAATTTTAGAATTTCAGCTCTATAAGTTCACGACATTTCCAATTTGTACCAAATTTTGTACTATTTAGTGCACATAAGTATATATATATTTCCAAAACAGCCATCATCATACAATCCAATAGAAATATTATTTCCCAATTTCAGGATTCAAGCCCTACCTGTTGACCCAAATCCAAATTATAGCAAATTTTGTATCATTTAGTACACATAAGTACGAATTTCCAAAACTTCTTACATACCCCAATCCTACAATGCAATTATAATCTTATTTCAAAACAAAGATCATCATATAATCCAATAGAAATATTATTTCCAAATTTGAGGATTCCAGCCTTATAGGTTCACCCAAATCCAAATTATAGCAAATTTAGTTCTATTTAGTACACATAAGGACGAATTTCCGAAACATCCAACAGACCCCAATCCTACAATGCAATAGTAATCTTATTTCCAAATTTCAGGAGACCAACTCTATCGGTTCCACCAAAATTTAAATTGTACCAAATTTAGTACCATTTAGCACACACAAGTACGAATTTCCAAAAACACCTGCATAGCTCAGTCCTACAATGCAATAATAATCTTATTTCCAAATTTCAGGATTCCAATTCTATAGTTTCCCCTAAAATTTACGTTGTACTAAATTTAGTACACATAAGTACGTAGTTTCAAAACCTCAAACCTCAATCCAACAATGCAATTATTTTCAAAATTCAGCAATCCAGTTCTATCTATAGAAGTATATGGTCCATCTTTCTTTTGTCTATCTACAGGGTGAGATGAAATAACTACAACTAATTTCAGACTGCTGTCATTTCTAAGCCACTCGTCCGACAGCTGTTAAAATTATTCTAGTGACAGCTCATTATATTTTTTAGAAGCGTACAAAAGCATTTTGGTGAGAATTTTCCAGAAAAAAAGTTATTCGTGATGGAATTCAAGCGTAATAGTGTGATTTCTTTGTATTTGGCAGGAAAACCACAAGTGGCTATCGTTAGAGCACTTCAGCATTTAAATGTGAATAAATCTTTTGTGTCTCGTACCATCGCTCGTTACCGTAATACTGGTAGCGTAGCCCGACGTTAAGAAAGTGAAGGAAGGTTCGAAAAGTAACGGTTCGAAAAGTAACGAAGCGACTTGATTGAAACCCGAGTCGCAGTGGCCGAAAAATGGCTCCTAAGCTGAACATATCGCAACATTCCATTCGGCAAATATTAAAAAATTAGCTCAGGGATAAGCCATTGAAATTCCAAAAAGTGCAAGAACTTACACCGCAACAGAAAGAAAATAGACTCAAAAGGCCTAAAGAGTTGCTTCGCTTGTCTGAAAGTGGTGAACTGCCGAATTTGATTTTCTCCGATGAGAAATCATTCGTTGGTTAACATTATTGGGCACGCAAACATTTTGGCCGCAGACCTTGGACATTCCAACAGGACTAAGCACCATCGCACTCAGCACACGCCACCCAAGTACGGTTACAAAATGAGGTTCCTCGTTTCATTTCCAATGGCCAGCGAAACCTCCGGATACCAATGGACCATTGTGTCTGGAGTATTTTGCGAAGCAAGGTTGGCACTAAAAATACCAAAAACGTTTTATTGCCGTTTGAAGGCCACAATTCGTGCAGTTTTTTTATCTCACCCTGTATAACTTCCATATATAAGTTTTATCGAATTAACGGTAAAAATATGCGTCAGACACAAGATAAATTATTGATATTAAAACTGGACCGTCAAATATATTTAGACATATCAGAGGCTGTCCATTATTGGGGTAGTGTATGAGAAAAAAGTCACTTCAACTCTCTCTCTCTTTCTCTCTTTCATTTCTAACTCTTTGCTCTATGGAAGATTCCAAAACAAGTTCAACTCTCTTGAGTTTATCGTATAATTACCAGGGTACATATTTAATTAATATCTAAAAATATGTTTGATCAATCAGTTTATAGGAATTGATTGATTCATCGATTTAAAGGTGAAGTGCAAGGTTAAAGATGTCTGGAAATATTATCATTCTGCATTACATGCACATTATTAAATTCAATTCAAGTGCAATGAATTCCGTTGGTCTGATAAAATCTAAGCTATCTTAAGTCCCACAAGGGTTTATATTAGTAAATAATTCTAATTGTTTTGCCAGAAGCAAATGTCCTATAAAAGACCATAGAACTGATAGCTAGAAATCAGTTCAAATCATCTGCAGTTGTTTTGAAGTTTGAAACAAAATGTTGAAATCGGTTGTTGTCTTATTGTGTTTGGCTATTCTGGCCGAATCTTCATTGGTCCGTATTCCTATGTACCGGGTGAAAGAAGCCAAAACCAAGGAGAATGAATTGTTGAAACTGAAAGGAAAATACAATAAATCCGGTTTCACCACCAAGGAGAATCTCTTGAACTATGTCGATGATTCGTACTATGGCAAAATAACAATTGGTACACCTCCACAGGAATTTTTGGTGTTGTTTGATACCGGCTCCTCCAACTTGTGGGTACCTGTTGCTCCCTGTTCCGCCAACAATATTGCTTGCCAAAATCATCACACCTACAATCCCAGTGCTTCCTCCAGCTATGTGGCCAATGGCGAACCCTTCTATATTGCCTATGGTTCTGGCAGTTTATCGGGTTATTTGGTTCAAGATACCGTCACCGTTGAAGGTTTGACAATTAAAAATCAAGTTTTTGCTGCTGCCACCAATGAACCCGGTAACTCCTTCACTTATTCTCCATTCGATGGCATCTTGGGTATGGGTTACAAAGGCATTGCCCAGGACAATGTTTTGCCACCATTCTACAATATGTATTCCCAAGGATTGGTTGATGCCGATGTCTTTGCTTTCTATTTGGCTCGTGAGGGTACTGCTGAGAATGGTGGTGAATTGGTTTTGGGTGGTATTGATCCCAATCACTATACCGGTGAAATCACCTATGTCCCCGTTACATCGAAGGGTTATTGGCAATTCGAAATCGCCTCGGGTGAGGTGAATGGTGTGAATGTTTGCAACAATTGCCAAGGTATTGCTGATACTGGCACCTCCCTTCTGGTTGTTCCCTTCTATCAATACGAAAGTATACAAGCTGCCGTTGGTGCCACATTCAGTGATGAGTTTGGTGCTTATGTTTTGGACTGCGCCACAATCGACAGTTTGCCTTCACTGAATTTCAACATTGGTGGCCGCAAATTCACGATTGAATCCAAGGATTATGTCTTGCAAAACTATGGCATTTGCACCACTGCTTTCGAGAACATCGGTGTTGATTTCTGGATTTTGGGTGATATTTTCATTGGTAAATATTATACTGTGTTCGATTTGGGTAACAACCGCGTTGGTTTCGCCGATGCTAAGTAAAAATAATTGTTGAATATATTTTTTGTTGATAAATATATTTTTGTTAAATAAATGAGCATTAGTTGAAAAAAATATATATTTGAAGTGACTTTCATTAAAAAAGTACGAGAAAATGTTGGGAATGTTCCTCAATATAACGGCTGGAATCTCGGCTTTTAATATACTGAACTTAACTAAAATTGTTGGTTTCCAACTGCAGTCAATCTAACAAATTAAAGGTTTTTATACCCTACACCACCTATAAAATGGAGGGTATATTAAGTTTGTCTTTCCATTTATTACAAATGTATATTTCGAGATGATGTATATTTTCTTGATCGGCATAACATTCTATGGAAATTACTCTAGGATCCGAACGAAAAGAAGTAGATTGATAAAATTTTACTTAGATAAATTGTAGGTTCGCCCACGTTTGGTATAGCCTCCATATAACATAAACGGTAAATTTATGGTGTTTTGGGTATTTTAGGCACAGTTTTAAAATGGATTCTCTGTAATTGGCAGTATGTGTTCCCAGTATGTAGAAAACATAATTTTAAAGAACTGTCAATGTAGTTACAAGTTTTGGTATATCCCCTGATATTTCTTATTTTCACGATTTTATAGGAAAATTATTTCAACCGAAGAATTTGGTATTAGCAAGGTATCCTATAACAGAAAATTTCCAAAGGTGGTCAACGGCTTCGCATAACACTCAAATAATTGTACAACACCCCCTACCTCCAATTTTTGCTTTTTGGAATTCGGTGTTTTTCATTATACCCTACACCACAAGGTGGTCAGGGTATAATGTCTTTGTGCATTTGTTTGTAACAGGCAAAAGGAAACGAGATAGACCCATAGTTCCTTTTGATGATCTGCATAGAATCACATTCTGAGTCGATTTATGCATGTCCGTCCGTCCGTCTGTCCATGTATTTTTGTAAACAAAGTACAGGTCGCCTTTATTCCCCGATCCAGATGAAATTTTGCAAAGATCTTTGGTTTAGCCCAAGGACGAACCCTATTGAAATTGGAGATAATCGGTCAAAATTTAGATATAGCTCCCATATATATCTTCGTCCGATTTGCCTTTTATTGTGCACCAAACGTGTAATATCAGCCCGAATCTTATGGAATTTTGCACATACACCCAAATTAGGCCTGAAAATATGTATGCCAAATTTGATCGAAATCGGTTCAGATATAGCTATAGCTCCCATATATATTGTTCATCCGATTTGTTATTTTTGTCCACCGCCGCCGTAATATGCACTATGCAACAACAATATTTGGGGAAATATATCAAATACAGCTCAGAAATACATTTGCTAAATTTTATCGAGATCGGTTCAGATTTGGATATAGCTCCCATATATAACTTCGTCCGATTTACGTTTTATTGTGCACCAAACGTCTAATATTGGTCCAAATGGGATGGAATTTGGCACTTACGACCGAATTGAGTCTAGAAGCTAGTATGTCAAATTTGGTGAAGATCGGTTCAGATATAGCTATAGCTTCCATATATATTATTCATCCGATTTGTTATATTTTTTACCCACAACCGTAATATGCACTCCGTAACAAAGATATTCAGGGAAATATATCAAATACAGCTCAGCAATATCTTTGCAAATTTTATCGAGATCGGTTCAGATTTGGATATAGCTCCCATATATATCTTTATCCGATTTCAAATTAATTGTGCACCAAATGGGCAATACAATTCCGAATTTAAAAGATACAAATGCTTCGGCATTTATAGTCCTTTGAACTTTGAATTATAATTATAATCATCATTGAATTCTCCCATAAAAACTTTTAATTGTTATGCGAAGCTCTACTAAATTAGCAAAGTGGTGTAGGGTATCATAAAGTCGGCCCGTCCGACTTTAAGACTTTCTTTACTGGTTTTTCTATGTAATATCAAAATTTGGTATTGGGAGTTCCTAATGGCAATTACTTATGGAGATCCCCATTTTTGTTTATCTTCCATATAATGGTACCATTTGATCTTCGGTCATTTTCTGAATGAAATTATCTCCAAGTTGGTATTTGGAGTTCGCATAGTCAGTGTAAAGGAGAATAGAGTCCAATCTCCCTCTTCGATTGTCAACTCTATTCTTTATTCGGATCCTACTCGGAGGATCAATGTAATAGCGAGAAAAGAAAACCAACCGAATGGTTTGGCTGTTGATTCAATTCTGATTTTATTTCAAAAATAAGTTTCTTCAATGCTACAAAAACTAATCTAACTTAACCTAATCGCAGCCACACAATTATTCTCATATATTTAAATATATTTCATTCAAGGGGTCTTGTACATTTACTGAGCTCATCGATATCTGTGTGTGTCGGTCATAACCTTTATTATCTCACACATTATCATATGCGTCAGCGCACATGATCTCCGAATTGTTAACATGTGGCGGCTGGGAAATATGTAATTTTAATTGTTTATTGCTAGATTTCCCCAGCGCCTCAATCACACTTAAAAGTATGTACAAAGTATTTTGTACAGTCAGATAATTGAGAATACAGGCCCAATCTGTTGTAAAACTCCACATATCTGTACCATCCGACATTCTGTATTTTAATAACTTTAGAGGTGTGTTTTTTCATTCCACCTGGTGCAGGGTATTAAAAATTCGGCCCGATCGAACTTAGCTCCGTTTTTTTGGTTGTTATGGATATGGTTTTGTCTACATCAAACTTACGTCCTCATTTACTTAGCAACACCTCAAAATGTTCGTTAGGAGTTCATATACAGGGTCAGATAAAAAACTGCAACAACGTCGAACGCCATAATTTTTACATTTGTTTTGTAATTTTATTAAGTGGAAGCAAAAAATAGCGCGAATATCATTAACATTTAGAATAAGTTTAGATTTGTTCAAATTGGTAACCTTTGGCACGAATTATGGCCTTCAAACGGTATTTTGGTCCATTCCCGGCGAAGCGCTTGCTTGAGGTGATCGACACTTTGATATTTTTTAGTGCCAACCTTGCTTTCCAAAATACTCCAGACACAATATTCCAACGGATTGGTATCCGGAGATTTTGGTGGCCATTGTGCGCTGAAAATGAAGCGAGGAACCTCATTTTGTAACCATTCTTGGGGGGCGCATGCTGAGTGCGATGGTGCTGAGTCCTGTTGGAATGTCCAAGGTCTGCGGCCAAAATGTTTGCGTGCCCAAGCCTTTAATACATCCTCCAGAATATTTTCGCGATTATATTTGGCATTTATTCTGATGCCACGGTCGATTAATACGAGCGGAAAGCCATCACCATGGCCGGCGCATGATTTCTGGTGGCCAACCGAAGGTACACATTTTTAGCTGACCTCTTTGGCAAGTAAACACTATCACTTTTTTTACAAACTGCAGGACAACGAATGTTCTCTAATAGGCGAAGACCAAATTCGGCAGTTCACACCTTTCGGCCAAGCGAAGCAACTCTTTAGCTTTTTTGAGTCTATTTTCTTTCTGTTGTGGTGTAAGTTCTTGCACTTTTTGAAGTTTCAATGGCTTTACCCTGAGCTCATTTTTCAATACTTGCCGAATTTAATATTGCGATATGTTCAACTCACGATTCATTCGGACACTGCGATGCTGGTTTCAATCAAGTCGCTTCTTTACTTTTCAAACCATTTCTGCTGATGTTGCTGTTTTCTTTCGTCCACTTCATAGACGTCGGGCTACGCTACCAATATAACGGTAAAGAACGATGGTACGAGACACGAAAGATTTATTCACATTTAAATGCTCTAAGGATAGCGACTTGTGGTTTTCCAGCCAAATAAAAAAATCACACTGTCACGCTTGAATTCTATCACGAATAACTTGTTTTCTGGAAAATTCTCACCAAAATGTTTTTTACGCTCTCATATATATATATATAAAAAACATTTTGGTGAGAATTTTTCAGAAAACAAGTTATTCGTGATGGAATTCAAGAATTTCGGGATTCCAACTCTATCCCTTCACCAAATACCCAATTTAGCACCACTTAGTACTTTTAAAACAATTATAGCACACATTTCCAAAATCCTCTCCATACATTGACCTCAGACACCAAAAGTCACATCCATATCTAATTTCAGCTGTATTTCTTCACCTTATACCAAATTTAGTACCATTTGGTACAATGAAAGTACGCACATCAAACAAAATAAGCAATAGTTACATCTATATCATATTTCAAGATTTTCGCTCCATTTCTTCACCCAATACCCAATATACTTGTAGTACTAAATGTCCGTGCACTTGTAGGTTTGTGATAAAGAGGTGGTTTTGGAAAGGTGCACTCCAAACCACCTCTCTATCATAAATCTACACCAACAGCGACTTGAATACCAACATTTCAAAATACGAGCTTCTTCCGTTCACCAAAAAGGGAACAGCACAATATTTAGAGTCATTTATTACAGTTCATACACTAAGTACACATTTCCAAGACCTTCTCCTTCATGAACCGAATTTCCAAGAATTTTCATACCAAAAATTTAAAGATTTTAGACTGTCAACACAATCCCACAATTTCGTACTATTTAGTACATTTCGTACGCTTGCTGAACACATTTCCAAAACAAACTTTTTATCTTAAACCTAACCACCAGCAGAGACCCAATAACAACATTTTAAATTTTCAGATCAATCCGATCGACCAAAACTAAATTTTATAGAATTTAGTAAATTTAGTACAGTTGTTGCACTTAGCATACATTTTCAAAAAACACTTAGTTATATTAACACTATTCCCAAATTCGACCGGATCCCGAGGATACCAGGTATCAGATACAGTTTAGAAACATCTCTGTCATGTTTTCGACGAACCCACCAAATAAAACAATATTTAAAGGGTATATTAAATTTTTTCAAAATATTTTAATACTCTTAAACAGCTTGTGCAAAGCCAACACGTGTATTGGCCATATCGAAAACGGTATAATATTTACCAATGAAAATATCTCCCAAAATCCAGAAGTTAGCACCGGCAGTTTCAAAAGCCGATGAACACATACCATCCATTTGAATGACATAGTCCTTGCCTTCAACAGTGAATTCGGTGCCACCAATTGTAAAGGTAACAACGGGTAAACTATCAATGCTGGAGCAATCCAATAAATAGGCATTGTAGTCTTCATCATACACGGCACCAATGGCAGCTTGTACGTTTTCATATTGGTTATCGGGAACAGCAATGAGGGAGGTACCTGTATCAGCAATACCTTGGCATTGATCACAAATGCTAACGCCATTTACAATGCCCGAGGTAATTTCGAATTGCCAATAGCCCTCTTGGGAAACAGGCACATAAGTAAATTCACCTGTATAGTGATTGGGATCAACACCACCCAAAATCAATTCACCACCATTCTGAGAGCTGCCATCACGAGTCAAATAGAAGGAGAACATGTTAGCGTCGACCAATCCTTGGGAGTACATATTGTAGAAGGGTGGCACAACATTATCTTGGGCAATGTTGGCAAAGCCCATGCCCAAAATGCCATCAAATGGTGCATCGGTAAAGGTGTTTCCAGGCTCATTGGTGGCTCCGGCAAATACTTGGTTTTGAATGGTCAAACCTTCAACGGTTACGGTATCTTGCAACAAATATCCCGTTAAACTGCCGGTGCCGTATTGAATGGCAAAGGGTTCACCATTCGCTACATAAGTAGATGAAGCGGTGGGGTCATAGGCATGATGATTTTGACAGGCTACATCAGCACTGGAACAGGGAGCCACTGGAACCCACAAGTTGGAAGATCCACTATCGAAGAGCACCAAAAACTCTTGAGGGGGAGTTCCAATTGTTATGCGTCCAAAATAAGAATCATCCATATAATTGATCAAACTCTCCTTGGCCGTATAGGACACGGAATTGTATTTGCTCTGGAGTTTCAGGAGTTCGTTGGCTTTGTTTTTCGATACCCTGACTTTTTCGATGGGTATACGAACTAAGGCCGCCTCAGCCACAAGGGCTAAACTTAACAACACAATTACTGATTTTGGTAACATTTCTATTGGTCAACTTTTCACTGGTAAATCGAATGAAAAACTGTTTTATTTCCCTACCAATTGGCGAGTTTTATAGAAAATTGATGGAACCGGTAATAGGTCTTTGTTCTATTTTTTTGTTTATCGAAAAATATCAATGATCTATTAAAGTAAACACACTGCACTTGTATACCTAGAACCCAAAATCCCAGGGGATTTGTTCCCCACATGTGATGGATTGTACTGATAAGAAGTTAAAAATATTGAAATCACTAAACAATTAGTAATAATGTTTATATATTTCTTTTGAGCGACCACACACACATATATTTAGATATTATTTCTTTTTGTATGACAAATTCTAGGAAATATCAATCAATTCGATTTTTTTTTCATTTCCGATATTAACCATAACTAAATAATAAGTTTGTTGACTTCAAGCCATCAATGTTGCACGATAAGGGTGAATAGGCACTGGGCACTAGAAACGGTAATTGAGGGAAAAGTTAAAAAATGTAACAGAATATTCCAATGTATCGATGAATGAAAATGGCTATCCACTTACGATACGAAATGCTATAACAGCTCAAAAATACCTCTGCCGAAATGTTTCGATAATGGATGATATTTGGATATAGCTTGGATGGATTTGACATATTTGCTTATTCGTATGCGCCGAATAAGAAAATGTGTCAAATTTGGTGATAATCGGTTCAGATAAAGCTATAGATCTCAAGGGGGGAGGGGGAGCAAGTTCCCCCCTCTTCAACTCTTTTGAAATTTTTCGGATTAAGATTCCTCGAAATCCATGCATTTTAGGTATATAGTGACTTTGACAATATTGGAGACCAAAATACGAGGAATATTTTGGAAGAAAAATGTTACACTCAAGCGCGTCCACAGAGAGACTTATGGACCTTCTAATACCCTACACCACATAGTGGTAAGGGTATTATGTCTTTTTTGTAACATGGAAGAGATAACCCCTTAGTTACTTTTGAGGATCTTCATGGAATTACTTTCTAAGTCGATTTATTCATGCCAGTCCGTCCGTCCGTCCGTCCATGTATTCTTGTGAACAAAATTCAGGTCGCATTTATTATCCGATTGAAATAAAATTTTGCAAACAATATTTGTTTGGCCCAAAGACGAACCCTATTGAAATTAGTGGTAATCGGATCAGATTTAGATGAAGCTCCCATACATCTTAAACCGATCTCGGCTTAATTGTGCACCAAATGGCCAATATAAGTCCAAATGATCTACATTTCGGTACATCCCACCGAATTCAGTCCAATATAAGTCCAAATGAACTGCATTTCGGTACATCCCACCGAATTTAGTCTAGCAGTAAGTTAATCAAATTTGGAGAAAATCGGTTCAGATATAGCTATAGCTCCCATATATATGTTTCATACGATTTGGGATTTTAAGTCCCTCACATGCGTAATATGCACTCCATAAAATGATACTTGGTAGCGGACATCAGATATTGCTCGAAAATACCTCTGTCAAATGTTATCGAAATCGTTTCAAACTAGGATATAGCTCCCATATATATCTTTATCAGACATCAGGTTTATTGTGCAGCAAATGGCTAATATCAGCCCAAATGGACAGAATTCATAATATAAACCAGTACTTCAAATTTTGTGTAAATCGATTGAGATATAGCTAAAGCTCCTATATATATGTTTTACCCGATTTGGGGTTTAAAGTCCCTTACAAGCGAAATATGCAGTCCACAACAATGATCTTGGGTACCAGATATCAAATACAGGTCTGGAATAAGTGAATTTTTTTAAGATCGGTTGAGATTTTGATATAGCTCCCATATATATCCTCAACCAATTTCGGGTTAATTGTGCACCAAATGATTAATATCAGCCCAAATGAACTGAATTTCGGCATATCAGGCTGAATTTAGTCTAGAAGCAAGCTACATTAAGTTTGGGGAAAATGGGTTCAGACATAGCTATTGCTCCCATACATACATATGTTTCATCTGATTTGGTGTTTAAGTCTCTCTCGTTATATGCATTCGACAACAATTATATTTGGTACCAGTTATCAGATACATCCCAGATATACTTCTGACAAATTTGATCAAGATCGGTTAAGATTTGGATATAGGTACCATATATATATTCAACAGATTTTGGGTTAATTGTGCACCAAATGGACAACATCTGTCAAAAAGTACTGAATTATGGTACATTCGACCGAATTCAGTCCAGAAGCAAATAGCTATAGCTTCCATATATACAGGGTGAGATGAAAAAACTTCAACTGCTGTCATTTCTAAGCCATTATATTGTTTATAAGCGTACAAAAGAATTTTGGTGAGAATTTTCCACCATAGTATGGAGGGTATATTAAGTTTGTCATCCCGTTTATGACACCTCGAAACATACGAAGTATATACAATGTCCGTCCGTCTGTGCGTCTGTGGAAATCACTCTAGCTTCCGAACGAAAAGAAGTAGGTTGATAAAATTTTACTCAAATGTGTATTTTGTCTGCAGGACTTTTGGTATTGAAAATGGGTCATGTAGGTCCACTTCTTGGTATAGCCCCCTTATAACGGAACCAACATTATCCGGTATTCTGATGATTTTAGCGATATTATTTACCGGAATTGTTTCAAATTTGGTATTTGAAGTTCGTAATTGCTATTACAGCCTATGACATAAAATTGTCTGTACAGGCCCACGTCTTCGTATAGCCCCCATTTAACGGTACCTCCCGATATTCGGTATTTTAATGATTTTAGCGACATTATTCACCGGAATTGTTTCAAATTGTGTATTTGAAGTTCGTAATAAACGCTACAGCCTATGACAGAAAATTGTCTGTGCAGGTCTGTGCAAAGTTCGGCCCAGCCGAACTTACAGCTTTTTTACTTGTTTTTGTTTATAATTTTTATTTCTGAAAAATACTGCACTTATTCAAAGTTTGCTGCAAATTTTTTTTATAATTTCACTATCCATTAGCCAGTCTGGGTTGTGGAAAATTACAAGTGGATTTGATAGTACTTGGGGTGTAGATCAAAACTGTATAAGAGTTGCGAGTTCTGGGGCCAAATTTTTTAGGTCTTTATACAGCTGTGACCACATACAATAAACGCCAGTATTTAAAGATATATTTTGCAACATTCAATATAGAATTTTATTCTCAAAAATCGGTCATTGGTACGGACTGCCAAGAGCAAGTCAAACATATTTGCCAGAGATTTTGCACTTTTTTAGACTACAGTTATAGCCCATTTTCCTCGATGTTATTTTAGTGATTGAAGGCACAATTTCCAACAGAATTGTTTGCAAAGTTTAAAGTTATAGCCCATTTCCCTCGATATTATTTTAGCAACTGAAGGCAAACAGAATTGTCTGCAATTTGATATGTTGGCTTCCAAATGGTATATATGGTTGCACGTTTTTTTATACCCTCTCCCTCCGATATTCTGTGTTTTTTTAATTTATTCACGCTTTTCAACGGATTAGTTTGGAATTAAGTATTTGGGGTAAATAACAGATACTATCACCAGATAAGGGTATGAACTTCTGGTAGAAAATATCTATATGGGTTGATGTTATCATATGACCCCCCCCCCCCCAATATAATCACAAATTCCATTATTCTACTTTTTGATTATTTTAATCACATCATGGTACGGTTATAAATTAAAAAGTTGAATTTTAATATTTTAGCACTTATTTTTAATAATATTTATTAATCCTTCACAATTTTTTTAAACAGCAAGAGCGAAACCAACTACCATATTGGCCATATCGAAAACAGTATAATATTTACCAATGAAAATATCTCCCAATATCCAGAAGTTAGCACCGGAAGTTTCAAAAGCCGAAGAACATATTCCGTCCATCTGAATGACATAGTCATTGCCTTCAACGGTGAATTGGGCGCCACCAATGGTAAAGTTGAGGACAGGCAAGCTATCAATGCTGGAGCAATTCAATAAATAGGCACTGTAGTCTTCATCATACACGGCACCAATGGCAGCTTGTATATTTTCATATTGGTCATCGGGAACAGCGATGAGGGAAGTACCCGTATCGGCAATACCTTGGCACTGATCACAAACATTAGTGCCATTTACAACGGCCGAGGTTATTTCGAATTGCCAATAGCCTTTTTGGGAAACAGGAACGTAGGTAATATTGCCGGTATACTGATTGGGATCGACGCCACCCAAAATCATTTCACCACCACTGAGTGAACTACCATTGCGAGCCAAGTAGAAAGAAAATATGGGGGCGTCCAACAAACCTTGGAAGTACATATTGTAGAAGGGTGGCACAACACCATCTTGGGCAATGTTGGCAAAGGCCATACCCAAAATACCATCAAATAGGGCATCGGTAAAGGTGTTACCCGGTTCACTAGTGGCACCAGCGAATATTTGATTTTGAATTGTCAAACCTTGAATGGTCACGCTGTCGAGGAACAAATAACCACTTAAACTGCCAGTGCCATACTGAATGGCGAAGGGCTCGTCAAGGAATACAGATGTGCACGAGGCGGAGGGGTCATAGGTATTGTGACTTTGACAGGCAGCATTAGTAGTGGAACAGGGAGCTACAGGAACCCACAAGTTGGAAGATCCAGTGTCAAAGAGTACCAAAAATTCCTGAGGAGGTGTGCCAATTGATATAACACCGAAATACGAATCGTCCATATAGTTGATCAAACTCTCGGTGACAGTATAGCTTGATATGTTGTATTTGCTCTGGAGTTTGTATAGTTCGTTGGCCTTGTTCTTCGTTACCCTAACTTTTTTAATGGGTATGCGAACCAAGGCAGCTTCAGCCACTAGGGCTAAACTCAATAATGCAATAACTGTTTTTGCTAACATTATTGCTGGGCAACTTTTCACGAATAAATTGAGTTAATAACTAAATTTTATTGTTTCAATGCGGCAGGTTTTATAGGAAATTTCCATCGACTCGGCAAAGGGGATTTTTTACAAATAATATTTTATTTTCCATTCAAAAAATATCAACGATCTACTGGATCAATAATATATCTGGAAGCCAAAATCCCAAAGTATTTACACCCCATAGGGATGATGGATGACATTGATAAAAAAAAACAAAAAAAATTGAAAATACATTCAATTTAAAATATTCATTATTTTTATCACAATAGTATTGAGGGTATTTTAAGTTTGCCATTTCGTTTGTAACTGTTTAAACTATTTTGGACCCCATAAAGCACATATGTTATTGATCAGTGCATAACATATTTGATTATGCCCTGTTGTTATAACTATATCTTCTGTAGAAGTTGAGATATAGTTCAGGAATTTTGGTTGCAGCCCTCATTGAACGTTTCCCACGAAAATTACTTCAGTTTAGTATCGAAAGTTCTGAGTATGCATCTAATATCCACACAAGGAATTATCATCATAATGATTTTGGTATAAATACCATATAACTAACTTGCTTCTAACCGTGCCTCTAACTTTTAGATGTTTTCAACGTGTCGATAATCATTTTCAACCGAATTTTCAGTAGTTTGGTATATTATGTTCCAAAACGGCACTTAAGCTTTTTATTATAATGTGATATACACATATCCCCTTTAAAACGATACTGGTCGATGTTATGTATTTTAAATATTGTAACAGAATTTGTCTTTAAATTTGAGCAAACCAAAACCGTTTAAATTATAAAGTAGGGTATTAAAATTTCGGTTTTGCCAAATTAAAGAATTTGCATTTGTTTTATATTGAATGAATGACAATATCAATCAATTCTAATTTTTTTAACTTCTGATATAAACAAAAATTGAATTATAAAATTGTTGGTCTTAAGTAGTCAACATTGAAAGATAATGGATAAAGATAATGGAGAGATAGAACTGGCAAACTATCGTTATCCACACTATTCGATGGTTTCGATATTTCTATTTAAAATATCGATTTCTGTTGCAATAATTTTTTATACCCTACACCACATGCGTATTATGTCTCTGTGCATTTGTTTGTAACATGGAGAAGGAGGCGAGATGTGCCCATAGTTACTATTGATAATCTTCATAAAATCACTTTCTGAGACGATTTATGCATATCAATTGTGAACAAAATACATGTTACATATATTATCCGATTCAGATGAAATTTTCGAAACACTATTTGTTTGGCCAAAGGACGAACCCTAATGAAATTGGCGAGATTCGGTTCAAATTTAGATATAACTCCCACAATACCTTCAACCGATTTCGGGTTAATTGTGCACCAAATGTCCAATATCAGTCTAAATGAACTGAATCTTGGCAATTCCGACTGAATTCATCCTAGAGACATATGCTTAAAATTTTGGTGATATAGCTATAGCTCCCATATATATGCTTCATAAAATTTGTGGTTTTAAGACCCACCAGGCGTAATTTGCACTCCACAACAATAAACTTTGGTACCAGAAAGTAAATACAGCTCAGGAATAATTGTTTCAAATAATTTCAAAATCGGTTCAGATTTGGATGTAGCTCCCATATATACCATTATCCTATTGCAGGTTTATTGTGCACCAAATGGCTAATATCAGCCTAAATGGAGTGGATTGTGGCACTTCCGACGGAAGTCACCATAGAAGAAAGTACATCATATATGTTTTATCCGATTCGGGGTTTAAAGTCCCTCACATGTGTTATATGCACCCCACAACAGTGATATTTGATACCGGACATCATATACAGCTCGAAAATACTTCTGCCAAATTTTATCGAGATCGGTTCAGATTTGTATGTAGCTTCGATATAAATATTCATCCCAAATTGGATAGATTTTTTCATATTCAACGGAAGTTTTCCATTTGGTGAAACTCGATCCGGTATATCTTTAGCTCCAATAGATATTTTTCAACTTTTCTTATCGAAGCCATATCATGCATTATACAGGGTGAGGTCGAAAAACTGTAACAAAATCAAGCGCCATAATTTTTACATTTTTTTTTTTAATTTTATTAAATGAAAGCAAAAATGTCGGAAATATGTACAGCAAAGTTATTCGGTACTAGAGGTACAAAAGCAAATCTGTTGAAAATCGATTCAGAGTTAGACATAGTTCCCAAATTAGAATGCTTATTTTGCATTTTATGCTCTTTTGTGTTATGCCCTTTGTAGGGGAGGTAAAAGAAGGGATTTGCCGATATCTACCATCTTTACAACAGAACAGATAGAAATTGAGATGTGCCGTGTTTAGAAGGAATCGAAAACCCCTTCTGATTTTATATGCATTCAAAATTTTATACACGAACATTTGTTGGTTAAAATAAAATAAATTCAAAAAAAACAGTAAAGAAAGTCTTAAAGTCAGACGGGGACGTCTTTTTGATACCCTGCACCATTTTGCTAATTTAGTAGAGCTCCGCATAACAATTAAACGTTTTAATGGGAGAATTCAACATACACGCTATAATTACAATAATAATTATAATTATATATAATTATAATTTAAAGTTCAAAGGACTATAAATGCCGAAGCATTTGTATCTTTTAAATTCGGACTTGTATTGCCCATTTGGTGCACAATTAATTTGAAATCGGATAAAGATATATATGGGAGCTATATCCAAATAGGAACCGATTTCAATAAAATTTGGCAAGGATATTTCTGAGTGCATATTACGGTTGTGGGTAACAAATATAACAAATCGGATGAACAGTATATATGGGAGCTATAGCTATATCTCAACAGATTTTAATAAAATTAAAATCAACTATTTTTGGGCTTTATCTGGTATCTGGTACCAAATATCATTCCTGTGGAGCGCATATTACGAATGTGAGGGACTTAAAGACCAAATCGGATGAAATATGGGAGCTGTAGCTATATCTGAACCGATCTTCACCAAATTTGACATACTAGCCTCTAGACTCAATTCGGTCGTAAGTGTCAAAATCCATCCCATTTGGACAAATATTAGACGTTTGGTGCACAATAAAAAATAAATCGGTCGAAGTTTTATATGGGAGCTATATCCAAATCTGAACCGATCTTGATAAAATATGGCATACTTATTTTCAGACCTAATTTGGTTGTATGTGCAAAATTTCATACAATAAAAAGCAAATCGGACGAAGATATATATGGGAGCTATATCTAAATTTTTACCGATTATCTCCAATTTCAATAGGGCCAAACAAATGATTTGTGCAAAATTTCATCTGGATAGGGCAATAAATGCGAACTGTACTTTGTTTACAAAAATACATGGACAGACGGACGGACATGCATAAATTGACTCAGAACGTGATTCTAAGCAGATCATCAAAAGGAACTATGGGTCTATCTCGTTTCCTTTTGCCTGTTACAAACAAAACAGACGAAAAAACTGCAACCAACTTCAGACTGCTTTTATTTCTAAGCCACTCGCCTGACATCTGTTAAAATTGTTCCAGTGACAGCTCATTATATTGTTTACAGGCGTACAAAAGCATTTTGGTGAGAATTTTCCAGAAAAAAAGTTATTCGAGATGGTATTCAAGCGTGCCAGGAAAACCTCAAGTGGCTATAATTGGAGCACTGTAGCATTTAAATGTGAATAAATCTTTTGTGTCTCGTAGCATCGTTCGTTACCATGGTACTGGTAGCGTAGCCCGACGTCAAGGAAGTGGGCGGAAGAAAACAGCAACATCAGCAGAAATAGTTCGAAAAGTAAAGTAGCGACATGATCGAAACCCGCGTGGCATATGGCTCGTGAGCTGAACATATCGTAATATTCCATTCAGCATATATGGAAAAATGAGCTCGGGGTAAATTCATTGAAATTCCAAAAAGTGCAAGAACTTACACCGCAACGAAACGAAAACAGAATCAAAAGAGCTAAAGAGTTGCTTCGCTTGGCCGAAAGTGGTGAACTGCCGAATTTGGTTTTCTTTGATGAGAAAACATTCTTTGTCCAGCAGTCTGTAAACAAACAAAATTGTGATGTTTAGCCGAGGGTTGCTCTCCGCACGTATAAACCGTGGCATCAGAATAAATTTCGAATATTATCGCGAAAATATTCTGGAGGGTGTATTAAAGCATTGGGTAAGCAAACATTTTGGACATTCCAACAGGACGCAGCACGCGCCACCCAAGAATGGTTACAAAATGAGGTTCTTCGCTTCATTTCCAGCGCACAATTGCCACCAAAATCTCCGGATAGACTATTGTGTCTGGAGTATTTTGGAAAGCAAGGTTGGCACTAAAAAATATCAAAATGTCGATCACCTCAAGCAAGCGCTTCGCCGGGAATGGCCGCAGAGCAACATTCGGGCAGCGTGTGACGGTTTCATTGACCGTTTGAAGGCCATAATTCGTGCCAAAGGTGACCAATTCGAACAAATCAAAACTTATTCTAAAATTTGATGCTATTTCCGACATTTTTAGCTTTCATTCAATAACATTTAAAAAAAAATGTAAAAAATATGGCGTTTCATTTTGTTGCAGTTTTTTATCTTACCCTGCGTACCTTTATTTGTCTATGTAGAGATATTGGCAAAAAATTAAATTAAATTAAATTAAAAATTAAATAATTACCAAGGCGAATAGAACTGGAAGTACCCATAATGCCGAATGAAACTTTTAACGATTGAACATTATTGGTAAATGCTTTCATATTCTTGTTTTTATATAAGTTAAATATATTTATTACTAGCTGGCCCGGTCCGCGTTGCCGGCCCGTAGTTTTTGTTTATTATGCATATTTTTAAAAGCATAATTATTCACAGATATGACTGATGTAAGTGTTTGCGTACTGGTCGATTAAAAGTGTTTTAAAATATCTGTACCCATTTATAAGCCGTGGACTTCAATATTTAAACCGTGTGCTTCAAATGTGTGGATGTGCTATACAAATCTATTAAAAAGTATATATGAATCTTATCCCCATGTAAGGGATCAAATTAATTTTTAGTATGGTAAAAATCGTAGCAAAATTTTACAGTCAAATGAGAAGCAATTTGGAATTTACTGTATTTTGTACACCTCATAATTGAGGGCTGAATGATTTAAGAATAGGCAAAGTTAATTACTTTTTTAAACCCATTAGCACCTTAGATTGTGCATTAGAGTCCTCATAAGTCCCCCTAACCATGTCGGTCTGTTTGTCCGCCAAAAGGTGGACTTGAGTGTATACTATTGCATGGAGAAAATTCTAAAATTTGTGAATATGTTGACATTTTTGTGTAAGATTTTCACCCCCCGAATACACATTTTTAGCCAAATCCTTTGAAATATGGTAAAATCAGGATGTACCTTTATATGGGCACTACTCCGAAACATCGACCTACTTTGAAAACTTTCTTCTACCCCTTATAATCCAATATGGCAAATAGAGGCCAACTCAAAATTATAGGTATTTCACACCCATTACCGTAAGATGGGAATTTTTTTATTTTCCATTTAAATTGTAAATTGGAGACCCCATAAAGTCCATATTTTTCATCATAGTATAATAGTATAGTATAATTCAATGTCGATTCAACAAATATTCGGTCCCGTACTACTTTCTTATATTTGTAATTTGTTCATGTTCCCACAATTTATTTCATATAGATGTACATTCCAAATCTACGTTCCCAACCAATATTCTCTTGGGAGTTACAAATTCAATAGAATACAAAATTTTCCTTTCTGACCACACATTAGGTGTGAAAGTGGACTTGGGGATACTCCAATGTGGAGACTTTACTTAAATAATTCCTATGTGGCAATTATCTGTATGATGGTTCCCTTCCCCAAGGTAGCATAACAAATTTTTTTAGCCAAATCAATAGATGAATGTGTTCAAGACCAATATGGGCCCTACTCTGAAAATTTCAAATTTTATGCGAAGAGGTTCTGTACCCCCTTAGACACAAAGATGCCTAATAAGGGCCAAAAAATAAAAAGGGACTAAGACCCCAAAAATAGCTTGAATCATACGATGGTTATATAAATATAAAATCGGGTTGTACCCTTATCCGTGAGTTATGATCTATATCATGACCTGCAAAAGCGATTTAAGGTATCTTGAATGTTTGGGAAGAATTTCTGGGAGGATAGAAATCCTTTTCTTAATAAAAGTCCCATTCGCTCTACTATTTTGCACCTTTTATATTTGGTATTTTCCTGATTGTACTCCCAAAGAATTTTGCATTTTGAGCTCTCATTGGACGGATTATTGTCACATAAAAAAGGCATGTTCACGCTTTGAGATGAGGCCCATTAGGCTTTTTCGGTCATTTTTGATTATTTAAATGTGTTCGCATCTTCCAGCTGAACCACGATATAGGCCCTGGAGTTGAAAGGTAGATGTCAGTTTACATTCTATTTCGCACTTATTTTGGTGAAAAATTGTATAGTGAAAAATTATTCTTCATTCTGTTCACAAAAAAATCAATTGAATTCAATATGATAATGCAAATTGAAAAAAAAAATTGACAAAAAAAGAATAACAAATTGTAAAAATATTCAACTTGTTAGCCGATTTTTTACAGCAAATGTTTAAAGGTCCTTACAAAGTTTGTCAATAGAATGTACTATTATTTTAAAAATCAATTCCATTGAAAAAAAAATTTTTTTCGATTTTTTCCCGATTTCAGAATTTTTGCAATGAGATCTCTTTTTCGTGAGTTTTTGGCGATTTTGAAAAAGTAATTATCTATTAACTTTGGTGTGACCGCGTTTAATTATTTCGATATCCTCTATTCCGTTTCGCCACCGCATAATTCGGTACTACACTTCCATGTAACCCGCCATCAATTTCAGTTCTCAAGAAATCAAGTCAATTAAATAAATTGGTATTAATATTCGAATTCAAAAATAAAATATAAAAAACACTACAAATGTACATTAGAAAAAAGTAAGTCAAAATGGAAAAAAATCATGCAAAATAAAACATTACTATTGTACATTTGAAAAGTCAAAATGAAAATGTTAATATATCACATTTGTACGCGATTTTTTTGGATATTATCCTTTTCGGAAAAGAGACAATTCCGAATTTGTTTGAATCGTTAAAATCTGTCCAGCGGTTCTTAAGTTATAAGCGTAGTAACTAACACAACTTCCTTTTATATATATAGATAAATCATACAATTTTTTAAACTTTTTTATTTAATATTTAAACAAATATTGCTAAATATCGTTTTGCGTTTAAACAGCAAGAGCAAAACCAACCAGCATATTGGCCATATCGAAAATGGTATAATATTTACCAATGAAAATATCTCCCAAAATCCAGAAGTTAGCACCGGATGGTTCAAAAGCCGAAGAGCACAGTCCCTCCATCTGAATGACATAGTCACTGCCTTCAAGGGTGAATTGGGTGCCACCAATGGTAAAGTTTAGAACAGGTAAACTATCAATGCTGGAGCAATTGAACAAATATGTGTTTAATTCTTCTCTATACACGGCACCAATGGCAGCTTGTATATTCTCATATTGTTCATCGGGAACAGCAATCAGAGAGGTACCTGTATCAGCAATACCTTGACACTGATCACAAACGTTAGTGCCATTTACAACGGCCGAGGTTATTTCGAATTGCCAATAGCCTTCTTGGGAAACGGGAACGAAGGTAACATTGCCGGTATAGTGATTAGGATCAACGCCACCCAAAAGCATTTCACCACCATTGAGCGAACCATGTTTACGATTCAAGTAGAAGGAAAATATGGGGACTTCCAACAAACCTTGATAGTACAAATTGTAGAAGGGTGGCAAAACGCCATCTTGGGCAATGTTGGCGAAGGCCATGCCAAATATGCCATCAAACACGGCATCGGTGAAAGTGTCGCCAGGCTCACTAGTGGCACCAGCAAATGTTTGATGTTGAATTGTCAAACCTTGAATGGTCACGCTGTCTTGGAACAAATAACCGGTTAAACTACCGGTACCATACTGAATGGAGAAGGCCTGGCCATTGGGTACATAAGTAGAGGAGGCCAAGGGATCATAGGTATTGTGACCTTGACAGGCAGCATTTGTAGCGGAACAGGGAGCAACAGGAACCCACAAATTGGAAGATCCAGTGTCGAAGAGTACCAAAAATTCCTGAGGTGGAGTGCCAATTGTTATGACACCAAAATACGAATCGTCCATATAGTTGAACAAACTCTCGTTGGCAGTATAGCTTGATGTGTTGTATTTGCTCTGGAGTTTGTATAGTTCGTTGGCCTTGTTCTTTGCTACCCTAACGTTTTTAATGGGTATGCGAACTAAGGCAGATTCAGCCACTAGGGCTAAACTTAATAAGGCAATAACTGTTTTTGCTAACATTATTGCTAAAACACTTTTCACGAATAAAACGAGTCTATAACTGACTTGTTGTGCTCTAAAGTGGCGGGTTTTATAAAAAAAATTCGTTCGAAGGAAATTTTTCTACAAAAAGTAATTTATTTTTCATTGAACAATTTCAATGATTGCAGAGGATTAACTACTCCATATAAATGATGGATGATGTCGATAAAAAAATAAAAAAACAAGAAATATTAAGAACACATTCAATTAAAGTGAACACATTCATAATTATTTTTTCGCGCCATCCACCATAGTTTGGAAGCCATTTTAAGTTTGACTTTCCATTTGTTACTCGTAGAATCGTTTTTAAAATCAATAACTACATATATCGTTGAAAAATGCATTGAATGCTTTTGGCGGATCTGGTCATGCCCGCCTGTCTGTTTGTGGTATCTGTCTGCTGTAACCTATCCATCTTCTGCAGAAGTTGAGATAGAGTTCATTTGATGAAGCTGTCCGATTTTATAGGTATTATAGTTTGGCATCAAAAGCTCTGAGTGCTCATGTCTTCTAGAAAATCTTAATTACTGGTGAACGATTTGGTGTCGGCCGCGAAGTTTTGGGATTCACAAAGGTTTTGATCATCGTTTTGAACTGAATTGTCTGTTGTTTGTTATCTTATGTATTTTTAATATTGTAATTGTTTAATTGTTGCAATGTACCATTCTTCATTCTCAATGGGGATTTAACTTCTTGTCAAAATAATTTCAGTATATGCTCCCTTGTAAGAATGTAAAGGGTGTTTTTTTTTAAGCTATATAGAACTTTAAATTGTAAAAAGTGATACAAAAAATTAAATTTTGATGAAACTTTTCATCATGAATAGACTCACGCTTGAACAACGCCACGAAATTATCCAAATTTACTTTGAAAATCAGGCTCTAGAGCAATTGGCAAATGACCCTTTGTTTTATCGCAAAATTGTGTTCAGCGATGAGGCGCATTTTTGGCTTAACGGGTTTGTTAATAAGCAAAATCTCCGCATATGGGGTGAGACCAATCCACAGGAGACCCTACTGACTCCATTACATCCAGAAAAATGCACCGTATGGTGCGGTTTTCACGCTGGTGGCATCATCGGACCTTATTTCTTCAAAAATGACGTCGGAGCTCGCGTTACGGTCGGAGATTCGTGACCGCACCATGATCGATGATTTTTTGTTTGAACATATGGCTTACATTGATCTGGAGGAGATGTGGTTTCAACAGGATGGCGCTACGTGCCATACGGCGAACGCAACCATCGACTTATTGCAATCAATATTTGGCGATAAGTTGATTTCGAGAAGTAGGCCTGTCAATTGGCCTCCAAGGTCGTGCGATTTGATATCTCTCGATTATTTCCTGTGGGGCTATGTGTAGTCACTGGTTTATGGAGGAGGCCTTGGAGGCCAGCATTGTTCGTGTTATTCGTGACATACGGCCAGCAGTGCTCGAAAAAGTGGCCAAAAATTGGACGTCCAGAATGCACTTCGTCAAGAACAGCCGCGGTGCCCGAAATAATTATACCCTACAACACTATGTGTTGGGGGTATTATAAGTTTGATTGGGCCAAAAATTATGTAACACCTCGAAATATTAGTTTCCCTCATAGGAAAGTATATATGGATCTTCCTATCTCGCCGAGCTAAGTCGATCTAGCTATGTATGTCCGTCCGTCCGTCTGTCCACGTTAATTTGAAATCACTCTCAAATTTGTAATCACACGAAATTTAGAGTGAAGGTGCGGATAGGGTCAGAATAGAACCCTATTTCTTTTGGAGATGATCGCATAATATTTAGGGGTTTAAATTGACCAACGAAAAATGTTCCTGATTTTGCAGCCGTTATAATACAAATAGAAACCGAAGGATACAAAATCTCGCATGAAGTTAGAGTGTAGGATTCTGGGTAGAATGGACCACTACTTTGTGTAAAAAATACCAGCATTACTTACAGGCGATATCCGACGATAGCCAAATATCGTAGACAAGAAAATCATATAGATGGGTCTAAATTTGGAGATTCAGAGGGGCCTCTTGCTTTTGGAGATGGTTCATATGAACCAAAAACAGAAAAAAATTCCTGATACTCAATTGAATCAATTCGACATGCCTGGGAAGAGCGATAAGGACATGGAAGAATTTTAGCATTTTTGCACAACAACTAACAACACGACATAGTTCGTAAATATTGGGTAAATGTCCCTGTTCAAAATGCTAAGGGTAATTTCTGCGCAGTGCTTCGTGACATAGTTTCAAAAGCGAAATCTTCCAAAATAAGAGGGCTTCTAACATGTTGTAGTGTTGTAGGGTATCACATGTTCGGCCCCGCACGACTGTAGCCTTTGCTTACTTGTTTTCAAATGTTAATGTCACGTATTGATCTTTCGAATAAAAAAATGATTAAAATGTAAATTTTTGTGTTATTTTTTACAATTTTAAGTTCTATCGGACTTAAAAAACACACTATATTTCGTGTTCTTAATACCTAAATAGCGACCTCGCATTTACTTAATAGTGTAGAGCACTAACATTTCGACCTTGCCGAGTATATGGAATTTCTTTTGAAAACATCAATCAACTTTCATTTGTTTAATTTTTGTTATAAAGAAAAATTTTATAATTACTTTTTTGGTTGACAACATTGAAAGATAATAACATATATGGATAGGTAGAGCTGGCAGACAATCGATATTCGCACTCTAATGCAAGCCTATACAACTGGTTGTACAACTTGGAGAGTTCTCAAATTGTGTGTTTTTGTCACAAACGATACAACTTAGTGTACAACTTCTTTGTACAACTTCACTTTTCGTAAAGCTTATTTGAGTTAAGATGGCATCGGAAAAAATTCATGCTCTATAATTGAATCAATAGCTTTTATTTATAATTAATTTTTGAAATTCCATTTTATAAATTCAATTTCCTTTTTATATATACATTAAAATCACACATTTGATTGGATTTCATATTGTTTTGATGTGCGAAACAATGATGTTGCCTCTTCAAAAATAAAAACAAAATTAAAATTGTATGCGACATGCCCACTAACGTTACAATCGGTTGGTACAACATGCCAAATATCAAAAAATTTTGATTTTTCACACAACCGAGACACAACTTCGTACAACCGGGCCACAAACGATACAATCTTGAATACAACCTCTCCCAGTTGTACAACCAGTTGTAACGTGTGTGGCTTGCATAGGACAGTCTCGGTATTACTATTTTAATATATGGATATTTACTCTTCTATATGTATACGAGTGCGGCTCGGGAAATTCTTAGCCTATCAAGAAAAGAGAATAGTTAGTTCTTCAAAAATATTTTATTTTTATACCCTCCACCATACATAGTAAGGAGGGTATATTAAGTTCGTCATTCCGTTTGTAACTCATCGAAATAATCATTTTAGACCATGGGTACTCAAAACCTTGTTCTAGAGCATGAGCGAAGTCACACACATTCTTATTCTCAGTGGATCAGTCGCTGTTGAGATGTCAACAAAGCAACATGTTAGCGGATGTTGTGCGCATTATTTTCATGTATGCACTGCACGAAGTAAAATATTTGTCATTCTATTTCAGACGTACATCGTAAATATGTGGGGGAAATATTTTATGATTAGTAATGCATATGACCAAGCTAAATGTTTGTTTTGCTTTAAAACAATAAAAAATAAATTAGAGCGTGACATTAAAAATCATTTTATTAATTTTAATAGAGAGATTTCCATGTTAAGTGAAGAGGAGAAAAGAAATTTGTTTGTACAAAAAAAGAACAGTTTTGTGCAACAATTAAAAAACTGGCTATATAATTTAGATAAAGATGAAAATAAGACCAGTAAGAAACAATTAAAACAAGATATTTCAAGATATATATGTCTTGACATTATTAGGCAGGGAAGGCCGTTTACTGATGGCCCGTATATAAAAAAATTCTCATGAAAACCATGAACAGTCTTAGTTGTGACCTAAAATTTGCACAATCTTTGCCTTTATCCCGTCACAGTGTTGCCCGCAACTGCCTCCTGTTAGGATCAATTATTGAAAAAGAGTTAATAGACAAATTAAAAAGTTGCGTATATTTTTCATTTGTGATGGACGAAAGCGTCGACATAAATGACATCAGCCAGTTGGTTATTTGCATTCGATGCATAGACAATGACATTTGAAGCAATGTTTACTCTAATTCCGTTACATTCCAATGTAACTGGAAAGGTACTTTTTTATGTCGTAAATGAAAAACTTCTTTCAATTGTCGACTCTAATAAATTGGCTGGTGTTTGCACTGACGGCGCGAATGTTATGTGTGGAAAAATAGATGGATTTATTGGCCAATTAAACAAGCATGATTTTCAATTTGAAAACTTTCACTGCATAATCCATCAGGTAGCCCTAGCATCAAAATTTATGACCAACCTTCCACCTATGAAAAAGGCGGATCAAATTATTAAAAAGATTAGAGGGGGACATCACTCCTTAACACACCGAAAACTAGTAAAATTCTTGAAAGATAAATCGGCACCATATCATGATTTAATTATGTTCAGTGAGGTACGGTGGTTAAGTCGAGGCGATTGTTTAAACCGATTATTTGCTTTAAAGAATGAAATAATGGAGTTCTTAGAATTGGAAAAAATGGAAGAGTACAACATACTAAAAGATAAAAATTTCATAACTGACTTGGCATTTTTGGCAGACATATCATGCATTCTGAATGAATTAAACAAAAAACTGCAAGGAAAAGGCTCCACTCTAAATAATTTGTGGAAGTTAGTTGTTGACTTTAAAAAGAAGTTAAATTTTTTAAAGGAAGATTGAAGGTCAGATATCTTCACAAATTTTCCGAGAACTGCACAAATTCAAAGCCAAGACTACTGCTTAAAAAACAGGAACATATATCAATCATAGAAGAACTTGGTAATAACATGCAACAAAGATTTCAAACTGATTTAACCAATGCTGGACATGTACGAAAATCCATTTACATGTGATGTATCTCAATATCCGCTACAATATCAAACGGAATTGATAATACT